ATAAGAAACACGAAGATGATAAACTGCTAAAAAGTGTATTTGTTTCAGTAACTCCACTCATTGTGTAAAAATAGACCATTTGTAGGCTAGAAGCACTGAAAGATAACCAGAATCTGCTAAAAGATTATTACTTCATCTATTTATATTGTTCAGTAAAAGGAAAGAAAAGAAGGAGGCCTAGAGCGGAGCTCTGAGGAATCCCAGAGCAGGGCTCTCCTTCCATGTTTTCCTCCTCAGTCACAGAAATCAGCAGAATCATCCTGTTTGGTTTAGGAATTCATTCATTTAGAAATCTGAGCCTGTTTTATTTCAGCTCTATCAGGATGCAGCAGGAATCTGCCTAGAAAATGAACTCTAGATAAAAGCAAAGCGTCGACAGACATACGATAAAAACACAGCTCCTCTCTGTGAGGCAGCAGCCTGACCTTTCTCTGAGAATCCTCCATCCTTCACGGCCTGGTCGCGGTCGGTGTGAGCAGGCGCAGGGAGCGACGACCCGCCAGCCACCAGAACCGGGTCGGATATCTCCATGAACCTGGGGCGGGAAACGGTCTCTGGTTTAATCTCCATGCAGTTCAGAGGAGAATCCGCTTTCTGTAGTGAGTTTTAACAACTTAATGTTGGAAACATTTTCATCACCCTGATTCGAAAAGACACTGCAAAAATCATCTAGAAATAAGTAAAAAAATTCTTAAATTAAGTGTATTTATCCTTAATTTGAGTAAGTAAATAAGGCTGATTTGCCAATTAAATGAGGATTTTTACTCTTTTCCCTGTAATGCCAAATGTATCATATTTGATACATACGGTTTCTGAAATGTTTTGCGTCTGACACCTTTTGCATAACTTATTGGTAAAAACTGCTCAAAATCCTATTGTACACAATTAGATATACCTGATAACAGCCAGTAGAAGACTACACAAAAAATAATCTTGACTTATCGCATAGTAATAAATTATTAATACCATAAATGTATTTCTGTTTTTTCTTTTTACATATTTTGTTAAAAGGCCAAATAAGGACTTTAAACCAAAAAAAAAGTAATTTTCTGTTTTGTTTTATTCTTGGATCGGGCTTTAAAGGGTTAAAATAAGATAATTAGACAATATAAACTTGAAATAAGACAAAGCAATAGTTTTTTTTTCTTATTTTAAATGCTAATTGTCTTGTTCCATTGGCAAAGTGTCTCACTTTCCTTCTAAATTCAAGAAAAAATGCATTTATTTTCAGTGGTGTAAAAGTGAAAAAAGTATGTGCTCCAAAAACAACAAAGTACAAAAGTATAAAGTAACCTTTAAAAAATAGTCAGAAGCCACTTTAAGAATTGAAAGCTCAATTTTTCAACTATTTCTATAAATTCTCTGAGATAGGGCCAAGGATGAGGGAGGTCTTGTTGGTCTCCGTCTCCCGATACGCTCTCGCCTGTGTCCGACCTTTCAGACATTTCAACATCTTTTTCTGAATCCCACATTGTAGCATGGCATAGACAATTCACGTTAGCAGTTTGAAGAACACCTGCTTGCTTCTGATGATTTCCTTTAGCTAACCAATGAGTGTTTGCGTTCTATGACTCATCCAATCACACTAGTTTTCACTAGATGTGGGTGGAGCCAATGATCTGCATTGGATGGAGCACATGACGGGAAATAAAGATTTAGAAACATTAAACCGAAGCCAAGAGTAACGACGAACGTTTGATTTAAAAATGTAAGGAATGATGTGATGTAATTATGGAGTCTTTGTTTTGTTTTGTATGCCTTGGACGGGATGTCTGTTGGTTTAAAATGAAAAACTAATAAAAACAATTTGATTATTATTATTAAAAATGTAAGGAATAGAAAGTACAGATACTGGTGTGAAAATGTAATGAGTAGAAGTAGGAAGTAGGAGGAAAAATAAGTGATGGAGTAAAGTACAGTAACTTAAGTACAGTAATGAAGTATTTGTACTTTGTTGCTTGACACCTCTGCTTACTTTAAGAAAAAAGGAATTACTCAGATTAGTATTTTTTACAGTGAACTTACCTCAGCTGTGAAAACGCTCCAGCTTCAACCTCCTAATTCCTTCAGTTACAGCTTTAGAAAAAAGGATGAAAGAAAAGTTCCTCTTTTCATAAAGACGGCAGCTGGAGAAGTTTTGGTAACGCTGAGGAGGAGAGTCACAATGCTGTTCTTTCAGGGGGGGAGGAAAGCAAAAACAACAGAAATCTCAGAGCATGTGGCTTTAAAAAACACATTTACCCTGATTTTAATGCTCCTCAGAAGCAAACATAGGATTCTAGAGGTCCTGAAAGCTAAAACCGAGGGAAGGATTTAAAGTGAGGAGAGAAAAAGCGTGAAGCTGCATGATGGTAAAAGTAGATATAAAGTGAGGAGTCATTCAGCAAACGGTTGTCCCCCAAGGCAACTGCAGCCGCCCCGCATATTTCCACACAGCTCAGCCTTGTGACTGAGGGAATCTTCTTTTCAATCCAGAGGTTTCCTCCAAAGACAAACAGGCCAACTTCTGGGAAACTGGAAATCAAATAAATACTTTATTCCAGTCGAAAAGAAAAATGTGTTTTTTTCATCTAACGATGATGTCAGAGCTGCACTTAGTTTAAAACATGACTAGAGAGTCAGCAGCAGACTTTAAGCCTCACCTGGATATTTGTCAGTTGATGTCGGTTGGAGGCCGGAGGTGAGGACAGGTGGGAGGGGCCTGCTGTGATTTCCCTAAACAGACAGAGAAACAGCATCTGCCATTCGAATATCTGACCAAACCAAAGCCCGGCTGCAAGCTCTGCATTTACCTACATTTGAATATGATGCCAGAACAGATGCTGGGAAGTCACCTGGTTCCTCTCAACTCTAAACATCAGCTGAAGCAGTTTGACGCCCCAATTCTTTCTGGGAAGAAAGCAGCTTCAACTCTGCATCTGTTCTCAGCAGAACGGGCAGTGATTAACAAAAAATGACATTTACTGTCATTTTTTTTTTTTATTTATTGAGAAAGAAAACATTCATGTACATTTTTTTTCATTCTTATAAAAAAGAGATTAACTTAACTTGTGCAAGGCAACAGAAATAAATAAACAAACAGGCGGTTTTATTACAACCAGTGGAAACATACAAAACCAACCTCCTAAAGTATAACGACATAAAACATATGTAGGTTTTAAAATCAACAATTAAAGGAGAGACTCATTCTGCAATAAAACAGTTCCTTGCATCATGTCAACTTTAGAGTTTTGTCAAGTCAAAAAAACTGAAGTTGTGACATCATGTCTCTACAGTTTTTATTTACGTCCATATTTTTAGGCTAAAAGAGATAAAGATGAATAGAAGATTTTGAATTCATTTTTGAAACTTATTAATGAAGGTTTATTAATTTCCCCATTTACATACATGTATATGATATCTTCCCATACTCAATAAAATATTCACCATGTCAGATAAATTACATTATTGTATGTTAATATTTGATTTATCTCAAAAGGTGTTAGATCATCTATTTCTTTACTTAACCAAATATGCAGGTTCTGCCAAAAGTGACCTGTGACTCGACACGAATAGAAAAGATGTTCAATATTTTCAGGCGTCCACCTCAAATCCAAATCTTTTCTTAAGAGTTTCTGCTGTTGGATAATAACTATTCATTTTATTCTATATTGCTCTTCTTTTACTTTTGGTGGAATTGGCCATTTTAAATATTTTAAATATTTTCTGTGTTACCTGAATCATTAATTATTCCAATTTTTCTAATTCCAGTAAAATTATGAAAGGTTTTACATTTAGAGGCTGTTCCTATAAAATGATTATTGGATTTTTTTATCTCTAATAGGCAATTGCTAATTTTTTTTAGTTCTGGCAAGACTCCTTGTGTATTTGACTGAGAGAGTGTGCTTCCTAATAGATGCAGCAGAGCAACAAATACTATTTTGCATACTTTGTTAAATTCTGTATATGAACAGTGGATTCCAAATGTTTCCGTAAAGGTGACATTTACTGTAAACAGTCTGTGGAAGAACTGGTTTCATTCTGACTGAGGCGCATCTTCTCCAGGGCAGAGAAACTCTGCCCTCTTGTGGAGAGAAGCTGTAAATGCAGCTTCTTAGAAAGGAGAAGCAGATGAGATGCAAAGGTCACAAACAGGGGAAGTATTCTGATTTGCAAACCTATGATGGTTTGATAATCGCATAGAGATTATCATGAGTCATGCACTGGATTAAAACAGTCAACAGATCTTTAAAAAGCTTATTATTCCTGCTGATATTATTCCTTCTTCTCTGCTGCTGTTCCACCCCAGTTCTCCCTGATGAGAAAATTACATATTTTTTTCTTTTTATTAAATCCATTAAAACTGAAATATGCTAAAAATGATCTGAAAATATGTGAATTTTCTGAAAATAACTGTAGTTGTTCCTAATCTGAACAGGAAAATAAGATAATCTGTCAGTGCAATGAGAGTTTTTAACCTTAAAATAAGATAACAGGTTTTTTTTTCATGTTAGTAAATCTGCAGATTGTCATATAAACCCAATAAAATTAAAGATTTTTAGGAATCCTTGGCTTTATGTTAGTGGGTTTGAAATAGTTATCAAAGTGACACCAGTCTACTCTAACCCCCCACCCCCCCCCCCCCCGTGTGCGCGCGCCACCTAGCAGGGCTGCTCCCATCTGGAGCTTCTGTTGTTTCCTTTGATGAACCGTTGGCTGTTTTCCTGGCGTCCATCTTTAAACTTTAGCCCCCCTCCCTGTGAGGTTGGATCCTGTCCTTCAGCTCCTCGGTAGCCCCCACCCCACGCGCTGCACCTGTCAGCTAGGTACGAGCCTCGCGCCAATCACGCGCCTCGGCAGTTTCTGTCCAAGATGGCGGCTTCCAGTGCGCCGCTCTGCCCATCCTCGCAGCGGAGCGACAGGTACGGCCTTGTTTGTGGGTCCCCCCGGGGCTGAGCAGAGCCAGCTGAGCGGAAGCAGACCCCCCCACCGCCGCCTTCGTGTTTGATCGCCTTCGCTGAGGGGGGGGCGATCCTGCCGACTATGGCCACCGACAACCGGATCAATTTCTGGAGGAGGAACGCCAAGGTTCCCGGAAGGTTGGTCCGCCTCTGGCTGCTGTCAGTGAAGCTGAAGCTTTTTCTTTGTTTCTCTTCTGAATGATGTGAGGAAGCAGCCGCCATGGCAGACATTAATAACTAGATTAACTTTGATGCGTTTAGAAGGAGCCGTCGCGGCGCTTCGGGCCTTTTGATGTGGCTGTGATGTCACGGAGAGGTCCGCGCGCCTCGCTGGCTGCCATCACTGGACGCTGCTGTCATCATCCACCCGCTGCTCCATGCTTCTGGGTCTGGATGAGAGCGGATGCAGCAGCTGGGGGGCCAGATCCTGGATGCAGCAAGGGGGGGGCAGATCCTGGGGGCCAGATCCTGGATGCAGCAAGGGGGGGCCAGATCCTGGATGCAGCACTGGGGGGGCCAGATCCTGGATGCAGCAAGGGGGGGGCAGATCCTGGGGGCCAGATCCTGGATGCAGCAAGGGGGGGCCAGATCCTGGATGCAGCACTGGGGGGGCCAGATCCTGGATGCAGCAAGGGGGGGGGCAGATCCTGGGGGCCAGATCCTGGATGCAGCAAGGGGGGGGCAGATCCTGGGGGCCAGATCCTGGATGCAGCAAGGGGGGGCCAGATCCTGGATGCAGCACTGGGGGGGCCAGATCCTGGATGCAGCAAGGGGGGGGGCAGATCCTGGGGGCCAGATCCTGGATGCAGCAAGGGGGGGGCAGATCCTGGGGGCCAGATCCTGGATGCAGCAAGGGGGGGCCAGATCCTGGATGCAGCACTGGGGGGGCCAGATCCTGGATGCAGCAAGGGGGGGGCAGATCCTGGGGGCCAGATCCTGGATGCAGCAAGGGGGGGCCAGATCCTGGATGCAGCACTGGGGGGGCCAGATCCTGGATGCAGCACGGGGGGGGCAGATCCTGGGGGCCAGATCCTGGATGCAGCAAGGGGGGGGCAGATCCTGGGGGCCAGATCCTGGATGCAGCAAGGGGGGGCCAGATCCTGGATGCAGCACTGGGGGGCCAGATCCTTGGGGCCAGATCCTGGATGCAGCAAGGGGGGGCCAGATCCTGGGGGCCAGATCCTGGATGTAGCACCAGGGGGGTCAGAACCTGGATGCAGCACTGGGGTGGGGGGGGTCATATCCTGGATGCAGCACCTGGGGGCCACATCCTGGATGCAGCACCTGGGGGGCCACATCCTGGGGGCCAGACCCGGATGCGGCACTAGGGGGCAGATTCTGGGGGCCAAATCCCGGATGCAGCACCGGGGGGCCAGATCCTGGGGTCCAGATCCTGGATGCAGCACCTGGGGGGCCAGATCCTGGGTGCCAGATCCTGGATGCAGCATTGGGGGCCAGACCCGGATGCGGCACAAGGGGGCCAGATCCTGGATGCAGCATTGGGGGGCCAGATCCTGGGGTCCAGATCCTGGATGCAGCATTGGGGGGCCAGACCCGGATGCGGCACTAGGGGGCCAGATCCTGGGTGCCAGATCCTGGATGCAGCATTGGGGGGCCAGATCCTGGGTGCCAGATCCTGGATGCAGCATTGGGGGCCAGACCCGGATGCGGCACAAGGGGGCCAGATCCTGGATGCAGCATTGGGGGGCCAGATCCTGGGGTCCAGATCCTGGATGCAGCATTGGGGGGCCAGACCCGGATGCGGCACAAGGGGGCCAGATCCTGGATGCAGCATTGGGGGGCCAGATCCTGGGTGCCAGATCCTGGATGCAGCATTGGGGGCCAGACCCGGATGCGGCACAAGGGGGCCAGATCCTGGATGCAGCATTGGGGGGCCAGATCCTGGGTGCCAGATCCTGGATGCAGCATTGGGGGGCCAGATCCTCGGGGCCAGACCCGGATGCATCATTGGGGGGCCAGACCCGGATGCATTGCTAGGGGCCTCATCCAGATGAACAGTTTAGGTTTTATGTGTTTAAACCAGCAGGAGGTTTATCTGTGGAGAGATTTTCTTCTTTTCCTGCTGCAGAAGCAAACTGGTGGATTTTAAGCAGCTTTCTGGATGAGCTGGTTAGCAGCGTCCAGGTTAACCCAGGTTTTAGATTCAGTCAGTCAATCATTATATTTGTTTCCTTCAGAGCTTAGAGGCGACTTTCTAATATAAACTCTCCTGGTAGCTCTGGAGGATTTATATCTATAATCATTTTCATTCAGATTAAATTTAACTTGCTATAAACGGGCGTCTCCAAATCGATAACGATCTGTTCACATTTGAACGGAACCAGTTTGTCTTTGCTGGAAAGTTAAACTTTAAGGCTATCGAATCCTTCCTGTCGTTATTCAGAAGCTGGGAATTATTTTAACGTTTTCTATAAACTCTGATATTTGGCTCCCATCGCAGATGATCCTCCTATGAGAAGAACTTTCCTTATGATGAATTAAAAGACTGCTTTAAATATAATTTAGTAATAATTAAAACGATCCCAGATGTTAATGGGAAAATAAAAACTTTGCTTATAGACGGTAGAAAACATGATTTATTGTTTTCTGGCATCAATATTATACCTTATTCCTCTAAAAGTCGACCCCATTGAATTGTTTTAGCTGTATTAAGGATACATTTTTGATTTATTTAGGGAATATTTGTGCACATGTGATGAAACTGGGTTTTAAACTCCAGTTTCTGTGTCGAGGATGTCTGATTGGTTCCATCCAACCAGGAAAGAACTGCAAAGTGAACATGGCAGCTTTTCGCTTGCTGTTTGCACGCTTTGTTCCTTTTTTTATTTGTCAGCTCAGGCTACAGATGCAATCTTCATAAGAATAACTTGAAGCCAGAAAAGTGAACTGGGACTGAGGATGTCCAGCATTACAGCCCCCCCTCACTTAGCTGGATGCACGGCAGTGGCCAATGGCTGGCGTATCTTCAGCCTGCGGGCTTCCAGCGTTTACCTGGAGATCAACCTGAATAAGACATGAGCTGTAGCTCTAAAGCGGCCTGGTCTGTCTGGGAAACCTGAGAGGAGTGGGCGTGGCCTTCTCTGCCACAGAAACGGCTGGAAACAGGCGGGTTTTTTCCAGCTCCCTGTCCTTGAGCCGCTGCTGATAAAACAGTGACGGTCGTAAACAAGAGATTCTGGCTCTGCCAGATAACCAGCAGCTCCAGTTCTCAGCTGCTAGGCTCAGTCTAAATGACGGCACGGCCGTTTTATTAGACCTGCAGTCTGATTTTTGTTTGATGGAATTTTTGTTGCTTCTAAAAGTAAAGGATGCTTCAGTTTTATGTCCTCTGAGGGACCAAAGTATGAGGCGTCCTCATTCAGGAGGGTTATCTTAGCGACAGGTGCTCTCCCTGACCTGGAGATCTCTGCCAGGGGCGGAGCTAGATGGGGGCCAGGGGTGGCCATGGCCACCCTCAGCCAGTCAGTGGCCACCTCTTCCATTTTTTCCCTCTAAAGGCTGATTTATACTTCTGACGCATAGCCTCTGCAACCGTCAGATCTGTCCCTGTGCGCGACCACGCCCCCCACGCAGACGGTAGGGATGGGACGATTTATGAAAACCGTCCGAACCGTTCGATTCGACTGTCTCGGTTCGGTTCGCGTGTGTTGCGTTCGGTTCATGCGCTGCTCCTTTTTCTCATAGGCGAAGCGTTTACACTCCAGAGCAGAAGGTGGCGGTACTGCGACCAAAGCCAACCACCAGTAGTAAACAAGAAGAAGAAGAAGCGAAGCAGCGTAGCCGGGTGTAGCAGAAAAAAATCAGTTGTTGTGGAGAATTGTGTGGGTATGGCGAGTGGGAAAGAACAGGAGTTGGAAGACGCGCCAGCAGCACTTTATAGGTCTGCTGTATGGGACCACTTTGCATTTAGAGTGACCTACGATGACGGCGGGAAGAAAGCTGTGGATAAAAGTGCAACAGTGTGCAAGCATTGTGCAACACGTTTTGTTTATGCTAACAGCAACGCGACCAACATGTCATGCTAACAATCAACATTTACCGAACCGAAAACCGTGACCGTGAAACCATGAACCGAACCGATTTTGTGAACCGTTCCACCCCTAGCAGATGGTCGGATGGTCGCGAACCTGTGCAGACTTCAAGCTGAAGTGCGTAAACAAAGAGCAGCTGTGATTGGTCCTTGGTGTGCCTTTCCGGCTGTCAGTGTGGTCGTCCTTCTCAATTCAGTGCCGGGGCGCGCCATTTTTAAAAAACAAGGAGTACTAACAACAGTGGATAACCACGATGAAAGGTTTGGATGTACAACTACTTGTACGATGCCTCAGATTTGTTGTTTTGGAAATTAAACACTCCAGCCAGCACCGCCGAAGATCTCGTGGGTTCTCGAATAGGTCCCCCCTTTTGCGCTTCGGTGGGAACCGGCTGAGCGTCCCTAGAACTTCCAGACCGGCGTTGCAGAAGCATATCAGCAAAACTGGTTCACGACCAAACGCAAGCGACATTTGATGTGTGCAGCTGCAGAAGTAAAATTCTCCCTTTATACAGATGATGGCAGCAGTAATAATTGGAATATTTAAGATATTTACATTTTTAATATTTTAGCAATTGATGCAAATTAATATACTAACATTAAAGATGATAAATGAGGAATTTATGCTCTTTTCAGAACTAGATGTTGTGTTTTATGGCGTAAAAAGAAAAAGTCATTGAGGAGTCCTCAATTAAATTATAGATAAATAACTATTTGAATAAAAACTTGTTAAATAAGAAATGTATGTAGATATTAGTACTTGTAAATATCAATTTTATGCAAAATGTTGTTCGCCCTAGAACTCTAACCTGAAAGAATTGTTTCCACTAAACCTTTTATCTAGAAGAACGGATGTTTAAATATATGCGTCTATTTCTTAGCAAAGACTGTAGGAAAGTATGTTTGTCTTATTTAGAAAATATGTGTCGGGATTTTATGTTCTTTTCTATTCCCAGTCAGCTGGGAATTAATATTTCTGATACTTTAAGATGTTTATTTCCCTCCCCAGTAGGGGTGGTAAATATCTTATTTAATCAGATATTATTTCAGCTGTTATATACTGTTTATGACACACAGTCCTACTAGCTGTGTGTTAGAACAATAGATGAAAGAGTGATTTGAGCTCTAATCATGGTCAAACTGTTAATTCTGCACATATATGGAATAAATTCACCACAACTTCTGTTCAAAATATAATGCTACGTTCACACCGGACGCAGCAAAAGCAGCAAAATTGCGTCTGTTGCTTCATTTTTGCTGCTTGTACCAGCTTCTGACGCGCAGCTTTGCTGCTCTGGCTGCGCGGTGTAAAAGCGTGTCTGACGCGCGTTGGGCGGAGCTTCACTATCCTTTCTCTGCCTTGCAGCTATATTTGCTGTGATCAGTGGGAATAAAGTAGTTTTAATATGTTTTTAAGTGAGAAAGTCCACCTGATAATCTGTGCAGTCAGTTTATCTAGATTACCATCCTGCCTTCCAATATTATTTCCTGCAGGCACCAGGATAATAAAAGCGAACATATTCTGTCGGCAGGTTTCAGCATATTAAGTTAATTTATGCCTCAATAAACTGTTTCAGAGGAGTGATCACAGCGCTCTGATCATCAGCGATGTCTCTCTCCCTGCCAGCTCCCAGATCAGCTTCTCTGATTGGTTGACGCGGCGCGTCGAGCAGCAAAAGTTCAAATTTTCCATTTCGAGCAGCAGCGCGTTTGCGGCGCGTCACGCGCGTCAGATGCTTAAAAGCTCCCGATGCGCTGCTTCAGCTGCTCAGACGCGCTGCTTCAGCTGCTCAGACGCGCTGCGCCTGCTGCTCAAAACGCGCTGCGGGATCTTTTGCTGCGTCTTGACGCGCGTCAACCATTGACTTTCAATGTAAACTCGCTGCTTCTGCTGCGTCCGTTGTGAACGCAGCATAAGAGTTTATTAACAAAAATCATTCAGCTCCAAGTCAAACATATTCCAGTTTAACACTCTTAACTAAAACTAGTAAAACTCAACTAAACTAAACTAACTACTATGTACAAAGAGGAAGGGGAAAACGGTTGAAAACCATATTACAGTTTAAGATGGATCTTGTGTTTGAAACCAAAGTGTATCTGGAAGAATTTGCGTTGTGATCAAATGAGCTTTTCACTAATTTAGAGATATAGATTGATACCCCCCCCCCCCCTTCAGTAGTTACTGCCTGGAAGCCATTATTAACATTTTCTGGCTCCGCCTATGATCTCTGCCAGACTCTGTCTCAGTCCAGTGGACTGAACTGCATTCAGTGATATATTATCCAACTTTAAAATACATGCAGCTTTGCTCTCTACAAAATGGAAAAGAATTGAGTCTCTAAAGAGGCGAAGTTTAGGGGAAATGGGTGAGATGGAGAGGGGGGGCACTGGAAGAAGATTCTCCTGTTTCCACCACACCACAGAGGCCTGCAGGCCGTCTGCAGCCGGTCAACAAGAAGCAAGCAGCTGTTACCCGTTTCTGCTCGGGGCCGTTCCATTGTTCTTAGATTAGATCCCGTATCTTTAAAGGAAAACAGGAACCTGCTGACTGAGGAAAAACCAGTGAAAGGCATGAAGGACAGTTTGTACTGTAAACAGCGTCCAGCTCTCATGTTGGCTCGCCCTCAAACTGATGCAGTTCCATTATCATCCACAGCGTGCAGCCGGTTTATGGAGCGCAGCATCCACCTCTAGATCCTCGCTTGCGACGGACGTAAGTGTGAAACGGCCTGCTGCATGGCTCCGTGACCCGCCGAGCGCACCGCTGCTCCGTGTTTTCAGTAAACCTGTGGACTGCATGGGCCGTTGTGTTGCAACCCTGACCTTCTATTTCAGTGTCATGTCAACCTGTGGTCCTCATTGCTTTGAGATGCACCAGCAGAGCTTCTCTGGTCAAACCTGAGATTAAAGGGAGGAGAAAATGTTCCAGCCATGGTTTGTTCTGCAGAGCCGAGTTTAAAAATATTCATTGGTTTATAACCGCCTCACTGGGGCTGAAAACAACCAGCCTTCATTCTTACTCCCTCGGTAACGATCTTAACACTGAAGAGTGTTGGCAGAGGGACCTGGTTGGGATTAAATCAGCTGATCTCAGATCAGGCCTGATTCCCTCTAACCAGCCCGTTATGGTGCATCTCAAACATGATGAGGATTCATTTAAAAAGGAAAAGCCGGTCGGTCATCAATCCCCCTAGGATCAGTCAGGGTTTTCACCTCTCCTCTCCCCCCCTCCCCTCCCTGCAGGTACCCAAAGGACACTAAGCCCAAGTTCAATAACCTGAAGTCTAAGAAAGCCTGCAGCTTCCAGGAGTTTGCCTGCAGCACCAACGATGCTTGGGACATTGATGATGAGGAGGATGGTCATTTCAGCGGGACTCCTTTCCCAGCGGCTCTCCCCCCTTCAGGCCAGGAGTCAACCTCATCTCTTCACAGCCAGGTAGCTGCCCAGGAGTTACCCTGTTAATCCCAGAGAAGCTGCAGGCCGGTCTGACGCAGGGTGGTCTGTGTTTGATTTCTGCTTTCCCATAGAAACTAAGGCAGCAGGCAGAAAAGCCCGACAGGAACGAAGCTCCCCATCCCCAGCAGGACCATCCCTCTGACTGTCCGCACGTCAACGGGACGTTTGGAAAGTCTTGCAGTGACGCAGACCTCAGCTCATCCTCAGGTATGTTGCAAATGTCCTGCAGAGGTTGGGCTGTAGGGATTAGATTAGATCAGACCGTGTTTCTACACGTCCCGCTCCACCAACATAAGCAATAAGAGCTGAAACTCTTTCATTGTTTTCTGGTTTTCTCTTAATCATCCTTCAGTTCTCAGTGGAAAGAAATAATAAAAAAAAAAAAAACTTTTTTTCACTGATTAAAAAAGGTTTACAGATGGATAACAGATCTAACTTCTATACATCAGGATGTGACTCAGTCTAAAATCCTTAAAGTTACCCCGCCCTTAAATATTTCAACATTTCTACACTTAGACATCTTTATAATCAAGGTTGGACAATAAACCTATGTCTATATATAAACTCAATATTTTTTATTTATTTATTTAACCAGGAAAAAAATCCCATTTAGATTAAAGTCGTGGCCAAGAGGCAGCAAGGTTACATAAGATACATTAAACGTAATAAAAAATATAAAAAACATAAAAAATAAAAAACATATCAAGTAAAACAATTAGAGATTGTTGAGGCTGCTTCAGATTCTGCCTGTCTTTGCCTAGGGCCCTACATTTACTATATCTGCCCCTGGTAGGATCTTCCTGTTTCTGGTTATCTTTTTTTATTTAACCAGGAAAAAAAATCCATTTGGATTAAAAACGTCTTTTTCAAGGGGGTCCTGGCCAAGAGGCAGCAAGGTCACCTAAGATACATTAAAATAAATGACAGGTACATAAAAAATAAAAAAACCATATCAAATAAAACAATTACAGATCATTGAAGCTGCTTCAAATTCTTTCACTTTCAACTTAAAAGCATTTAAAGATAAAACCTCAGTCAACTTCCAGTTTTTTTGTAAAAATATATCCAATATTGTCATGGTTACAATGTAAACAGTTTTGTTTCCCTATTTTCAATAAACGCTCGTCAATAAGTATCATTATTGTCTGATTTTATAGGATGGATTTCACCAGCGTTTCGGATTTTCACTGTTTAGAAATTAGCAGAGGAAACTTCCCGTTTCTATCCAGCTGTTGGTCATGTGACCCGTGAAGCGTTTGCATTGCAGTCGGACTAAAACCGCCTCATCAGGGTGTGAAAACTTTAATTCAAAGCAGAACAGGCTGGTTTCCACTAAAGCAGGAAGGCAGATGCTGATGTTTCAGCTTTAGCTCCTCTGTGATCGTTTATTTATTTCTGACATCATGAAGGTTGTGGGTGGTTTATGATTGTTTTCCTGTGTTTGGAGATAAACCACATGATCCATGATGACATCATCTTACAAAATCAAATGAGCTGTTTGGATGTTTTAGCATCAACTCTGCTTAAAGCAAAGGTTTTAGCTGCAATAAAATGTATTGTTTTGAGTTTGATATAAATGCGCCTCCAAGGTCATCTAGTTTATAGAAAAGTTTTAATCCAGGTGTGATTTGATTTTTATTTCCAGGGCAAAAAGTCAAAATGGTTTGAAACTTTAACATAGTGATAATTAATGAGGCATCTTTTTTTATTGTTATATATTTATTTATTCAGAATATATGTCCAAATACAGTCTACATCCAATGTACAATGGTGTTCTTTTTTTTTCTTCTTATTTTTGGAACCTCAAAAAACCCCAAAAGAGACAACATCTCCTTCTCCCTTGGTGGGGGGCAGATTTCCTGGGCTGGCCCCTCCTTGGTGCCTTTGCTCTTGGGGTCCTTTTGGGCGTCTGGGGCTTTGGGTCCTCCGGCGCCTGCCTCAGTGCTCTGGGGGGGGGGGGGGCACCTCTTCAGCTCTTCACAACCACTATTGAGCATTTTTCCTTTGGATAAACTTTAAAAGCACAAGTGAACTTTAGCAAACCACTACAGGTTCCTGGTTCCAGGTACCCAGAGATTCACTTCCATACAGAAAGCCCATATTCTTACCTTCAGGTAACATAGAGTACATGTCAGATTAAACAATATCACTTATACTTTAGTGATAGTATCTAGGTGTTACTTTACTGTATGTCTTGTACCACGTCCGTTGGGTGTGCTGTTCTTCTTCCATCTCTTTGCTGATAAAGCAGACTGAAGATGTTTTATCATTATCTCCTCTTTCTTTCATCTTTTCTTTTTTCTGTTTTTCCTTTCCTGTTCTACTTACATTGCAGTGTCCATGTAATCTGTAAAACTCCCTGCATGAATTATAATAAAGCAATCTATATGTATAAATCAAATGGAACACAATGGCGATATCTGTACTGCTCCACTTGTGAAAGTAAAATCTGTTGGGCTCTTTTTGGCATCAAGACAATTATTTTTATTGCCACATTTCCAGACAGGATGCTGTATTAAAAAAAGCAATGGAGAATAAACTAGGAAAACTCAGGCTGCCCTGTTTACAGCCTCGGGAGAGTAAGAAGGCGCTCGACAGAATCCTATTAGTCAAAATCTGTGATCTAGAGCTATTAAAGAGTGTTGTTACATATCTAATAAAGGTGTCAGCTAAATTCATAGCTCTCAGGGTCTCAAAAAGAAAATCAGGTTCAATTCTGTCAATCGCCTTCTCAGCATCCATAGAAAGCATCTCCATAGGGTACCTCTGTCTTTTAGCATTATCAATAACGTGAAACAACCTCCGAATATTATCTGCTTCCTGTCGGTTCTTAACTAAACCTGTTTGGTCTGCATGAATAATTTTTGGGATTATCTTCTCCAGTCGAGATGCTGTTATTTTAGACAAGATTTTATAGTCGGAGTTGAGGAGGCTGAGGGGTCTGTAGTTGCCGCACTTTTTTGGATCTTTTCCAGGTTTAGGAAGTAATGTTATTGTTGCAAGTTCTAATGTTTGCGGAATAGTTGACTGTTGGAATGCCTCCTTGATCATACCTGTAAGGGGGGTTAATAATTAGTTTGAAAAAGGTTTTAAAGTATTCAGCTGGGAAGCCATCCGGCCCTGGGGCTTTATTATTTTGTAATGATTTAACAACAAGGTGAACCTCCTCTTCACTTATTTACTCATCCAGTATATCTTTGTCAGTTATGTTAATCTTGGGTAAATGTCATTGATTCAAAAATAGTTTTATATCTACACTCTCTTTGTGAAAATCCGATTCATATAATGTTTGATAATATTTTTTTGATTCCAAATTTATGTCTTTTGTATTTTCTAAATCTGCCATGCCAGTAACTTGCTTGTTTTATTTCCGAATTCGTAATAATGATATTTTGTTCTAGCCTTTGCTTTGTCAGCTTTACTTGTACACAAGTTGAAATAGGAAGTTTATGTTTTAAAACGCTAAGTAGTTCTGCTTGTCTTGTTCTTGAATGTTCAATCTCCAAAGTTCTTATATCTTTTTCTAATTGTAAAAGCTGTTCCTTTTTTGCTTTGTTTTTATATGAAACATATGAAATAATTTGCCCCCTCATCTAAGCTTTGAGCGCTTCCCATGTATTTGAATCTGAAGAAGTATTTAAATTTACTTCCAGATAAGTATCGATTCTGTTATTCATAAAAGTGACAAATTCAGGGTCTCTCTGGGGAAATTCTCTGAATCGCCATCTGTTGATGGTTGATGAAATTCTAGTTGCATTTCTATGGGATTATGGTCTGAAATCATAGCTGCTAAATAACAGGTTTTAATTTGTGCCAAAAGTGGATGTGAGGTCAAAAACATGTCACTTGTTGAATAAGTGTTGTGAACACTGGAATAAAATGCATAGTCTTTGCTGGTTGGATTACGTAAACGCCAAACGTTCCCCGATCCTAATTCTCTCATGTCCTGAACCAGAGCCACAGCAGATCTGGAGACTGTAACTAGTTTAGGAGAAGAGCGATCCATTGATGATTAAGAACCAGCTTAGGCTACGTTCTCACTGCAGGCCTTGATGCTCAAATCCGATTTTTTTGTGAAAATCTGCTGATGAAGGTTCTCAGTCATCCAGGTCAAAGTCATTCCGTAAAAAAATATTTTGTGAAAATCGATTTTTCTTTTTTTTCCTTTGGCGTTGCCGTTCATATTTCCAAATATATGCGACTTCTATGTGATCTCCTGTGTGAACTAGTGCATCTGGAGATCTGGGAGGCTTCTTGCTGTCTGCTGACATTCAAATAATGGAGGTCTATGGTGCCCGAGGCAGAAAGGTCCATAAAAGTCCACAAAAAACGTGTCAATATTCCTCCATACTGCTCGTCCAATGTATTCCAAGTGTCCTGAGTGGGTAGCGTCCATAATTTACTCGAAACGAAGTCATTTAGAATGTTTTTAGAGCATAAACAGTAGTGTATAGGATTTCCTAAAAGCGCGCGCCTGCGAGTTCACGAGTCTACAGAAACCGCGGCAGACCAAACCAGTTGAAAGTGCGCATTCAGCGTCTGCTCTGCCAATAATGCAAGCGCAGAAGAAGAAATGTGCTGTTTACCTGTGCAAAGAAAGAAACAATGAAAGAAAAATGTCTGAGGACTTCAGTGTTGAGGAAGAGCATGAGTTCTTTGCCGAGCTGAATGCGCACTTTCATCTGGTTTGGTCTGCCGCGGTTTCTGTAGACTCATGAACGCGCTTTTAGGAAATCCTATACACTACTGTTTATGCTCTAAAAACATTCTAAATGACTTCGTTTCGAGTAAATTCTGGATGCTACCCACTCAGGACACTTGGAATACATTGGACGAGCTGTATGGAGGAATATTGACAGGTTTTTTGTGGACTTTTATGGACCTTTCTGCCTCGGGCGCCATAGACCTCCATTATTTGAATGTCAGCAGACAGCAAGAAGCCTCCCAGATCTCCAGATGCATTTGAGATATCAAAAAAGTACTCCAGAGTGTTGTTCAGCATGGGGGTGAGTAGAAAATGAAGGCTAATCATGTTTTGGGTGTACTATTCCTTTAAGACTACCATGAAAAGATCAGATCCAGGTCCCATCTGGGCAAAAAAATCGGATTCTGGTCACTTCAGGCTGCAGTGTGAACGTAGCCTTACAGTTGCAGCCCAATATACATGGAGCTTCAATTGCTGCCAGTTTTAGAATTAAATCATTAAAAAATTCTGGGCTATCCGAGTTTTGGCCGTATAAGGATACAAGTATTACCCTGTTTGTGTTTATTACACGATCTACCAAAAGGATTCTGCCAGGAATCTGTCATTTTCTAAATAATTTAACTGAAATCTGAGGTTTTTATTGCTAAGCAGGGCCAGACCTCTAGCTTTAGATGAAAATGTAGGAAAAAAATACACGACCAACCCGATCCCTGAGCAAATTAAAATGTTCTATATCTGTGAGATGGGTCTCATGGATAAAGGCGATGCTTTGTTTCTTAAAGTATGTTAGAACTTGCTCATCGGCCCTGAAGTCACGGCAGTTACCGCTGCGTGTTCAGTTCCTCGCTGCCGTTATCGTAGCAAAGATGTTATGTGGAGGAACATCTGCTTCACTCTCATTGAGAGTTCTCTCTGCTTTGGTTGTTTTGCAGCAGTTCGCTCTCCTCTGCAGAAGCAGCAGTCTCTCCCAGTCCGTCCCATCATCCCACTGGTGGCTCGCATCTCCGATCAGAACGCCTCGGGGGCTCCGCCCATGACGGTGCGGGAGAAAAGCCGGCTGGATAAATTCAAGCAGCTGCTGGCCAGTCCCAACACCGACCTAGGTAGGGCTGCTCGGTGGCGCCCCTGCTGGCCGACTGAACAACACTAAAACCAATCCAGATAAACTCTTACAAATGGTTCTGCTTAGTCAGGTTATATTTAACCTTTAAACAAGTTAACTAACCTCCCATGAATCCCATCTCAGCTGTCCAGGCAGCAGGAACTGGAGGTCTGTTTTTTAAAAAATGGCTTCTTAGCAGCCTCCAGAATATGGCTGTGGTTCCTGCTGTTCTACAGTAGATCCCCGTAGAACCGAATCAGACAGAATAAATGTCTTCCTCTGGCCGGGAAAGTCTAATGATGGAGAAGATCAGTTGGTGTAGCACGGGGTGAAAGCTAACCCCTCCCTCTAACATTCAGCTGCTCTCTGTTTCACAGAAGAACTGCGGAAACACAGCTGGTCAGGAATACCCAGAGAAGTCCGGCCAATCACGTGGAGACTCCTCTCCGTAAGGATCCTGACCTCCAGTCTAACAGGATTACATCACTCCTATAAAGCTACCTGCTGGTTTTCACTCCTCTCTCCTGCTGCTTTCAGGGATACCTGCCAGCCAACAAGGAGCGCAGGGAGCTGGTTCTGACAAGAAAGCGAGAAGAATATTTTGGATTCATAGAGCAGTATTACCACTCCAGAGCAGACGAGCACTATAAAGACACCTACAGACAGGTATGTTCTCCTCTGAGTGCTGAGAAGGCAGCAGATCACAGCTGTGAACCATTCTCTGCTCTTCTTTTCTGTTCCCATCAGATCCACATCGACATTCCCAGAACCAACCCCCTCATTCCGCTGTTCCAGCAGCCGGCGGTCCAAGAGGTGAGATGCTGTAGAAATGCAGCAGCTTTAATGCTGGCGAGCGGGCCTGAGGCAGCTGCTGCTGGGGATTCCCAGTGACAGCGCAGCGCCGGTATGTGGGGGTCTGAGCGGCTCCCACAGAGAAATAATCTGGATGAACTGACTGCACAGACCATGTTTTCAGGAGGACTTTCTCACTTCAACATAGATACTAACTACTTTTTACCCGCTGATCACAGCTAATATAGCAAAGCTGCTCTCTGGCATCGAACACAGGAGCAGCAGAAGCATCTGGACTCACTTTACTGGACGTCTGACCTTAATGTGGATCAATGATGAAGCAGTAGAAGCATTTTAGCTGCTTAAAGCACATCCAGTGTGAACGTAGCCCTTTAACGACCCCCCTTTCAGAGACATAGACAGGTATGGGGCATTGCAGGCTAACAAAGAACCCAAAACGACCCCCATTCCAAAGGGGGGGACCCGTTCATCCGTTTCTATTTGCTTGTTTTCTAAACTAAAACCAGGCTTTGTTGGGCTGCTGGATAAAACCTGGAACTAAACGCTATTTCTGACATTTGGATTGAAAAATCTTCCTGAAAGAGAAACGTCTTCAAACTTGGAAACAAAGTCTAGTGGATTGATTTTTAACTTTTTTGGAATGACTCTGACCTGGATGACTGAGGATCGTCATCAGCATGTAGTATTAGGCTCTTCCCCCCAGATTCCACATACTCCGTCCCGCTGACGTACGTCGTGCGGAGTGCTTGTCTTTCGTGTAAATCAATTAGAGCTGTTCCACCTCTACTCCTCCGCACGTCTCCGTCCACGTACGTCTTCTCTGTCTGTCACCGCCAAAATACGGAGCCGAGGTATTTTTAGCTCCGGCTTCCTCCCACGGTCCAAAAAACATGACTGTTAGGTTAATTGGCTTCTCTAAATTGTCCTTAGGTGTGAGTGTGTGTGTGAATGGTTGTTTGTCCTGTGTGTCTCTGTGTTGCCCTGCGATGGACTGGCAACCTGTCCAGGGTGTACCCCGCCTCTCGCCCATTGACTGCTGGAGATAGGCACCAGCACCCCTCGCGACCCCAATTGGGACAAAGCGTGTAAGATAATGGATGGATGGATGGATGGAGGTATTTTTAGCTCCGCTCCGGTCCGGCCAGGTCAAGATCCAATATTGCAATCGCACCAAACAGGAAAAAGAACATTGAGAAATTCCGTTTCGTCAAATTAAAATATAGCAGCAGCAGATCCGTAACTAGAAATTAGAGCATAATTCTTATATATTCTCAAAAACTAAGAGCAATTAATGAAATGATTTGATGCAAACTATCAGTACTTCATCATACCAGGAAGCAGATTTCTCATCTCCTCAAAATATTTATTTTATACAGAGAGGCTTAAAAGTTTAATCAAATCCAGTCAAAAGAAACGTCTTATTGCAGGAACGGATGAAGAGATGGTGAGTTTGGAAGCAAAGAACAAACAGAGTTCATACAAACTATGTATGATCACAGTTATTCCTGTTACAGAAATCCACAACAAAAAGAAAATATTTGGGCAGAAACTGAACATCTGCTGGATGATGATGGGATTTTTTTTTAATATGTCATATTAAATTAAACGTTACAGGGTTTATACAGGAATGACTAACTCTAATTTAACGCCTTGCTATTAGAAATAATTTTAATGCCATCAACAAGAACCATTTACATATTTATAGCCTATATAGATATAGATATAGATGGATAGATAGATAGATGGATAGATGGATAGATAGATAGATGGATAGATGGATGGATAAAGAACACGGCAAAATCATCTTTACTGCCGACAGGCTGCCGCCGTGTCCGGAATTCCTTGTTTTCCAGCCACTTTTGTTGAAATAAGCATTTCTCCCGTTCTCTAGCTGTTTCTCCGACTCCAGCCTCTTTTCCAAACATTCGGCTTTATGATCAACTGCAAGCAGTTTAATCGGGATATATTATCTCTGACGAAATTGTCTTCATAAACATTTTTTCTTAAATAAAGCATTTCAGATGCCATGTTGATCAAATTTAATCAGTGCCAATTAAGGCCTTAATTTAATAAATAATAATTTAATGACTTTTAATGATTTGTAATGATCGGTGGAAACCCTGGTTCATTTCCGCATGTTTTGCTGCTTTGAATTTAATAATATAGCGCAGGCTCTCCTCAAACTCCGAGGAAGTCGTAACGGAGCAGGACGGTAGGAACAAACGAGGACGTAGGCTTTGCTTTGCGCTTTCTGGAGAGCAGCGGGGTTGAAGCGGAGACGGAGACAGAGGATGTGGGATTTCAGGGTTAATGAACACCCCACTGTGGTTCTGCTGCAGATGGCAGAGTCAGATTCACAGCCTGTAAATAAATGAATGAATCACTAGATCGTCCCTCAGGCTGAACGTTCTCTTTTTACATTTCCATTAGTTGTTTTTCCATTATGAATGAAACATCAGGATTTTTTATCCTTCAGACCAGAGAGCAGCTCTTCACATCACATCAAGCCTGCAGCTTATTTTCTGTCACTTTTCTGTTTTGAGGAAGTTGGTGACGCATAAAGCTGCAGCGTCATTGAAAAGAAGAAGTGAATCTCTGCAGACGAAGCTTGTTCCTTAAATGTGGTTTTATCATTTATTGTGGCTTTTAAAGATTTATGTTCAGATTTTCAGGAGATTTAGGCTACGTTCACACTGCAGCCTGAAGTTACCTTAATTCAGATTTTTTTGGCCCATATCTAAATGTATTTGATCTTTTCATGTCAGTCTGAACAACTCAGATCCGATTTTTTCCAATGCGACCCAGAACACTTGGCTGTGTGGTCCTGAATCCGATACGAATCCGATCTTTTCAAATGCGACCTGCACCTGAACGGCCAGGTCGCATTCATCCAACCTGAACCTCATTAATACCCAAAAAAGGTCACTATTCTGGGTCTTACTATGAAGAAGCGGCAAGAAAAACAACAACCATGGCGGACGATGATGCAGAGAGCAGCCTTTATGTTTAACCATCTTGAAAAGATTGTCTTTTTATGGTTGGGAAAGATCCCTAGATGCGCTCCGGCGTTACCATCCATGTTTACTTCCATAAACAAGCTAACCTGTGGATGTCATTGCATCCTCTACTGCGCATGAATGAAACTGAATGCAGTTCACACAGGAGATCACATACAAGTCGCATATATTTGGAAATGTGAACGGCAACGCAAAAAAAATTGATTTCACAAAAAAATTGAGGCCTGCAGGGTGAACGTAGCCTATGATGTGATGCATTTAAATGTTACTGATCGGCTGGTAATGGTTCAAAGGTCGTTGAGGGGGCAAAACGCTGCAGGTGAAAACAGGAGCGTTCTTTCCCCGTGTTCATAGTGAAACTTTCTTCTAAGAAAGGAACCGTCGGCTCCTTTAACACCCAGCCTGGATGCTGTCTGCAGGTATTTGAGCGGATCCTCTTCATCTGGGCCATCCGCCACCCGGCCAGCGGCTACGTCCAGGGGATCAACGATCTGGTCACGCCATTTTTTGTCGTCTTCTTGTCCGAGTTTGTCAGTAAGTTGATTCTGGTTTAGTTTCTGCTTTCCTTCCTGTTTTTTTTTTTTTTTTTTGCTGATTCCACTTCCTCTTTAACACCTGCTACTGTTTAGGATTATTAAGACACACTAGGTTTTTCCAGCTTTAAGCTCTGCATTAAGTGTCCCTGGAAAACTTTAATAAACTGCAAACAGTCTAAAGGATGCAAGAAAATGATCGACTTTAAAACTATCACCTTTAACCTGTAATTATTTTATATTTAAAGTCAAACAAAATAAAACAAACTGCAAATCTGAATCAATTTTTGGGTTAATTTTGCTAACCGCTAACATTTACCATGTTAGCGCTGATATCAGCCAGCAATCCGTTTGCTGCTGAGGACGATTTGGTCCCACGGTTCAAGTGCTGCTTGCAGATTAGGATTTATTTATTTTTCATTGGAGCAAAAACAGTTGATTTTCTTAAAGGGTCATAGAATGCAAAACAGTTTCCATTGTCATAGATGAATAACGATAGTTCAGTGGGTGAAATGGACGTACAGAGAAGTTCAAACTCCATCAACACCTCATTTCTCTGCAAATCTCACTATTCTAAAAATCCACCATAAAACGGGCGAATCCCAACGAAACACCGAGTTGACGTAAACTCGGGAATGTTGCCTTATTTGCTTCTGGCCTGTACTTTTGTCACGCCTGAAATTGACATCCAGACCAGCTCATTGGTTCACGGCCCAAGAATATGAATAGAGGAAGATGGAAGACACCAGTTTAGCTGTTCAGCCAACAGTTGGGTTTACTTCTACAACAATTACAAAGCAGGAAGTTTCTCTATTAAAGATGAGCCAGAACCACGGGTCTAAATCCAGCGTTCCAGGCTGACCAGACAAAGGGGAACATTTTCACAGTCTTCCCAAGGATCCGAAGACTCGACAAGCATGGATTATTTTTGTGTTGCAGAAGATCCCTGCAAAGTTTGATGCTCAGCTGTTCATTTGCTCGAAGCATTTTACTGAAGAAAGCTTTCAGAATCTTGGACAGTTCAAAGCAGGGTTTTCTAAACTTCCTTCACTGAAACGAGGGGCTGTTCCCACTGTGTTTCCATCACAACTGCAAGCTGGAAGTACGATTCTGGCGCTAAGCTGTTGATAGCAATGCTAGCATATCTATGGTGACCAGATTTGGGTCTCTGAAGAGGACTGGACTGGACCGGGCATTAGAACCGAGCCGTCAGCTTCGGGTCGCAACAGCTGATGGCTCGGTTCTGCTGCACTGTAGTCGACCAAAATCCCGGAAGATTTTGAAATTCCTCCTGGAAACCGTTTTAGGTCTGAAAAGTAGGACATGTCCTGGAAAAAGAGGACATCTGGACACCCTAGCATATCAACAATCTGATGTTTAAGTGAGTGAGTGCTTGTTGCTATGATGCGTCTTTGCTCAGCAGCTTGGCTCGTTGTAAACCAACCAATCAGAGCACAGCTCATCTAAATATTCATGATCAAACCATAAAAGGAAGAAAACCTGTGGTTTCATTCTAGGGCTTTTAACCAGGCTGCATTAGGGCTCATTGATCAGCTAATAGGGCATTTTCAGCCCAACCAATGTTACACACCCTATTAGAGACCTGAAGGACCATATACCCTATAGAATCATTCTATCACCCTATTAGAGACCTGAAGGACCAGATGCCCTATAGAATCATTCTATCACCCTATTAGAGACCTGGAGGACCAGAAACCCTATAGAACCATTCTATCACCCTATTAGAGACCTGAAGGACCAGATACCCTATAGAATCATTCTATCACCCTATTAGAGACCTGAAGGACCAGATACCCTATAGAATCCTTCTATCACCCTATTAGAGACCTGAAGGAGCAGATACCCTATAGAATCCTTCTATCACCCTATTAGAGACCTGAAGGAGCAGATACCCTATAGAATCATTCTATCACCCTATTAGAGACCTGAAGGACCATATACCCTATAGAATCATTCTATCACCCTATTAGAGACCCGAAGGACCAGATACCCTATAGAATCATTCTATCACCCTATTAGAGACCTGGAGGACCAGATACCCTATAGAATCATTCTATCACCCTATTAGAGACCTGGAGGACCAGATACCCTATAGAATCATTCTATCACCCTATTAGAGACCTGAAGGACCAGATACCCTATAGAATCATTCTATCGCCCTATTAGAGACCTGAAGGACCAGATACCCTATAGAATCATTCTATCGCCCTATTAGAGACCTGAAAGAGCAGATACCCTATAGAATCATTCAATCGCCCTATTAGAGACCTGAAGGAACAGATACCCTATAGAATCATTCTATCACCCTATTAGAGACCTGAAGGAGCAGATACCCTATAGAATCATTCTATCACCCTATTAGAGACCTGAAGGACCAGATACCCTATAGAATCATTCTATCACCCTATTAGAGACCTGAAGGACCAGATACCCTATAGAACCCTTCTATCACCCTATTAGAGACCTGAAGGACCAGATACCCTATAGAATAATTATATCACCCTATTAGAGACCTGAAGGAGCAGATACCCTATAGAATCATTCTATCACCCTATTAGAGACCTGAAGGACCAGATACCCTATAGAACCATTCTATCACCCTATTAGAGACCTGAAGGACCAGATACCCTATAGAATCATTCTATCACCCTATTAGAGACCTGGAGGATCAGATACCCCATAGAATCATTCTATCACCCTATTAGAGACCTGGAGGATCAGATACCCCATAGAATCATTCTATCACCCTATTAGAGACCTGGAGAATCAGATACCCTATAGAATCATTCTATCGCCCTATTAGAGACCTGAAGGACCAGATACCCTATAGAATCATTCCATCACCCTATTAGAGACCTGAAGGACCAGATACCCTATAGAATCATTCTATCACCCTATTAGAGACCTGAAGGACCAGATACCCTATAGAATCATTCTATCACCCTATTAGAGACCTGAAGGACCAGATACCCTATAGAATCATTCTATCACCCTATTAGAGACCTGAAGGACCAGATACCCTACAGAACCATTCTATCACCCTATTAGAGACCTGGAGGACCAGATACGCTATAGAATCATTCTATCACCCTATTAGAGACCTGAAGGACCAGATACCCTATAGAATCATTCTATCGCCCTATTAGAGACCTGAAGGACCAGATACCCTATAGAATCATTCTATCACCCTATTAGAGACCTGAAGGAGCAGATACCCTATAGAATCATTCAATCGCCCTATTAGAGACCTGAAGGACCAGATACCCTATAGAATCATTCTATCGCCCTATTAGAGACCTGAAGGAGCAGATACCCTATAGAATCATTCTATCACCCTATTAGAGACCTGGAGGACCAGATACCCTATAGAATCATTCTATCACCCTATTAGAGACCTGAAGGACCAGATACCCTATAGAATCATTCTATCACCCTATTAGAGACCTGAAGGACCAGATACCCTATAGAATCATTCTATCACCCTATTAGAGACCTGAAGGACCAGATACCCTATAGAATCATTCTATCACCCTATTAGAGACCTGAAGGAGCAGATACCCTATAGAATCATTCTATCACCCTATTAGAGACCTGAAGGACCAGATACCCTATAGAATCATTCTATCACCCTATTAGAGACCTGAAGGACCAGATACCCGATAGAATCATTCTATCGCCCTATTAGAGACCTGAAGGACCAGATACCCGATAGAATCATTCTATCGCCCTATTAGAGACCTGAAGGACCAGATACCCTATAGAATCATTCTATCACCCTATTAGAGACCTGAAGGACCAGATACCCTATAGAATCATTCTATCACCCTATTAGAGACCTGAAGGACCAGATACCCGATAGAATCATTCTATCGCCCTATTAGAGACCTGAAGGACCAGATACCCGATAGAATCATTCTATCACCCCTTTAAGATGACATGTTGAAGAGAAAAAGTATTTTATCTTCTGATGCCGATCCGCTTTGCCTTCTTTTAAACAATTTGGTAGCGAATAGAACCACATCTGACTGATGACTTAAACTGAAAAACAGATTTTGCTTTTCTTATATTTCCTTTGGATTTACTCCTTAAAGGCACAGTGGAGGAATTTCACAAATATTTGAAAGGATCCGCCGTCTCGACTTTAAAAAAAAAATGCACAACCCTGTCCCCCCTCCCGAGAGGTAACGCCTATTAAAGGAGAAGTCCGGTCAGCGAGGAGCCATTATCATTACAATGATTATTCATCATTAACTATAACTAATACGATTGCAATGATTTAATGAATTTAGCATTAATCAGGAAAAAAAAAACATTTGGAAGAAGAATGTTTTCAAGATGACTTTTCTTTTCTAGCGGAGGATGTCGAGAACTTCGACGTTGCAGCTCTGCCGCTGGAGACCCAGAGGAACATCGAGGCCGACAGCTTTTGGTGCATGAGCAAACTGCTGGATGGCATACAGGTGAGGCGGCGTGCAGCCGTTTGACTGTTGGTGTTCCCATTAAATGACCCGGCTCTCCCTTCAGGATAACTACACCTTCGCCCAGCCGGGGATCCAGAACAAGGTGAAAGCCCTGGAGGAGCTGGTCGGCCGGATCGATGGTGAGGAGCCGAAGGAGCAGGAGGAAGTCTCCGTTTCCCCCCACCCATTACAATAACGCTTTTTCCTCTTTAGTGGACATTCACAATCATTTCAAGAAATACGAGGTGGAGTACCTGCAGTTTGCTTTCCGCTGGATGAACAACCTGCTGATGAGGGAGCTGCCGCTTCGCTGTACCATCCGCCTCTGGGACACCTACCAGGTTCTGCTTCCACTGTTTACATGTTCTGCCTGTAGGCGGCTCATTTCCCTCGCTACATCTTTCTACGCATAAAAAGCACCACCTCTAAACCAGGCGTGTCCAGAGCCGCCATCCTGCAGGTTTCAGAGGTTTCCCTCCTTCAGCTCAGCTGATTCTCATGATTTAGTTCAGCTTAATCCTGTTAATCAATGAAAATCAGCTGTGCTGAAGCAGGAAACGTCTAAAACCTGCAGGACGGCGGCTCTGGTGGGCCGAGTCTGGACACGCCTGATCCAAACAGCAAACAACCTGCAGGAAGGCAGGAGACTAACTGTGATAGTTTTATTCACGGTGGCAGCTGATCCGGCTCAGGATTGGATCAGGCTGATCCAGGACTGGGATCAGGCTGATCCAGGACTGGAATCCGTCTCTGACCAAAATCCGCTGCTTAGCAGAACACTGATAAAATGAGAAACATTATAAAATCCACCTTAAATCGATGGGATAAGCTGAGAAACTGGTTCTGCTCTTGATGCCACTGTCACTACCCCATCCGTCCCGGAAGCACCATCCGTCCCGCTCATGCGCGAACAGAATAACAAGATTCGAATCGCAGAAAAACTGCGTCATAACAGTACTGAAAATACTTTTTATAAACTTAAAACATTAAAGGATGCTAAACTAGATCGTATAGAAAATATTGAAGACTTCTCTGGAAGAAAGAAACGTTTTCCATTCACTATTATCTATTGCGTGATGTCATCATCAGACACGCTCAGAGCAATCGGGGCTATTTAAGTCTTTTGGTTTTTTTCATTTTCAGAATATGCAATATTAACGCAAATACAAAAATATTCAAAAGACAAAAGAATAAAAAACTAAGAAAAACAAAGCATTGCCTAACCCGAAGTTATTCTGTTCGCGCTCGAGCAGGACGGTCCGTTGCTTCCGGGACGAATCGTTGCTCCCAGGTCCGATTGTTGCTCCCAGGACAGATCGTTGCTTCAGGGACAGATCGTTGCTTCAGGGGCAGATCGTTGCTCCAGGGACGGAACGTGCTTCCTGGTCGGAACGTTGCTACCTGGTCGGATCGTTGCTTCCGGGTCGGATCGTTGCTTCCGGGTCGGATCGTTGCTTCCGTGACAGATTGTTGCTCCCCAGACGAATCGTTGTTTCCGGGTCGGATCGTTTCCTCCGGGTCGGATCGTTTCCTCCGGGTCGGATCGTTGCTTCCGGGTCGGATCGTTGCTTCCGGGTCGGATCGTTGCTTTAGGGACAGATCGTTGCTTCAGGGGCAGATCGTTGCTTCCGTGACAGATTGTTGCTCCCCAGACGAATCGTTGTTTCCGGGTCGGATCGTTGTTTCCGGGTCGGATCGTTTCCTCCGGGTCGGATCGTTTCCTCCGGGTCGGATCGTTTCCTCCGGGTCGGATCGTTGCTTCCAGGTCGGATCGTTGCTTCAGGGACAGATCTTTGCCTCAGGGGCAGATCGTTGCTTCCGTGACAGATTGTTGCTCCCCAGACGAATCGTTGTTTCCGGGTCGGATCGTTTCTTCCGGGTCGGATCGTTGCTTCCGGGTCGGATCGTTGCTTCAGGGACAGATCGTTGCTTCAGGGGCAGATCGTTGCTTCCATGACAGATTGTTGCTCTCCAGACGAATCGTTGTTTCCGGGTCGGATTGTTTCTTCTGGGTCGGATCGTTGCTCCCGGGACAGATCGTTGCTTCAGGGACAGATCGTTGCGCCCGGGTCGGATCGTTGCTCCCCAGACGGATCGTTTCTTCTGGGTCGGATCGTTGCTTCCGGGTCGGATCGTTGCTTCCGGGTCCGATCGTTGCTTCCGGGTCCGATCGTTGCTCCCGGGACAGATCGTTGCTTCCGGGTCGGATCGTTGCTCCCCAGACGGATCGTTTCTTCTGGGTCGGATCGTTGCTTCCGGGTCGGATCGTTGCTCCCGGGACAGATCGTTGCTCCCGGGTCGGATCGTTGCTCCCCAGACGGATCGTTGCTTCTGGGTCGGATCATTTCTTCCGGGTCGGATCGTTGCTCCCGGGACAGATCGTTGCTCCCGGGACAGATCGTTGCTCCCGGGTCGGATCGTTGCTCCCGGGACAGATCGTTGCTCCCGGGACAGATCGTTGCTCCCGGGACAGATCGTTGCTCCCGGGTCGGATCGTTGCTCCCGGGTCGGATCGTTTCTTCTGGGTCGGATCGTTGCTTCCGGGTCGGATCGTTGCTCCCGGGTCGGATCGTTTCTTCTGGGTCGGATCGTTGCTCCCGGGTCGGATCGTTGCTCCCGGGTCGGATCGTTGCTCCCGGGACAGATCGTTGCTCCCGGGTCGGATCGTTGCTCCCGGGTCGGATGGTTTCTTCTGGGTCGGATCGTTGCTTCCGGGTCGGATCGTTGCTCCCGGGTCGGATCGTTGCTCCCGGGTCGGATCGTTTCTTCTGGGTCGGATCGTTGCTTCCGGGTCGGATCGTTGCTCCCGGGTCGGATCGTTTCTTCTGGGTCGGATCGTTGCTCCCGGGTCGGATCGTTTCTTCTGGGTCGGATCGTTGCTCCCGGGTCGGATCGTTGCTCCCGGGTCGGATCGTTGCTCCCGGGACAGATCGTTGCTCCCGGGTCGGATCTTTGCCCCCGGGTCGGATCGTTTCTTCTGGGTCGGATCGTTGCTTCCGGGTCGGACTGTGCTCCCGGGTCGGATCGTTTCTTCTGGGTCGGATCGTTGCTCCCGGGTCGGATCGTTTCTTCTGGGTCGGATTGTTGCTTCCGGGTTGGACTGTGCTCCCGGGTCGGATCGTTTCTTCTGGGTCGGATCGTTGCTCCCGGGTCGGATCGTTTCTTCTGGGTCGGATCGTTGCTCCCGGGTCGGATCGTTTCTTCTGGGTCGGATCGTTGCTCCCGGGTCGGATCGTTTCTTCTGGGTCGGATCGTTGCTCCCGGGTCGGATCGTTTCTTCTGGGTCGGATCGTTGCTCCCGGGTCGGATCGTTGCTCCCGGGACAGATCGTTGCTCCCGGGTCGGATCGTTGCCCCCGGGTCGGATGGTTTCTTCTGGGTCGGATGGTTTCTTCTGGGTCGGATCGTTGCTCCCGGGTCGGATCGTTTCTTCTGGGTCGGATCGTTTCTTCTGGGTCGGATCGTTGCTCCCGGGTCGGATCGTTGCTCCCGGGACAGATCGTTGCTCCCGGGTCGGATCGTTGCCCCCGGGTCGGATGGTTTCTTCTGGGTCGGATCGTTGCTTCCGGGTCGGACTGTGCTCCCGGGTCGGATCGTTTCTTCTGGGTCGGATCGTTTCTTCTGGGTCGGATCGTTGCTCCCGGGTCGGATCGTTTCTTCTGGGTCGGATCGTTGCTCCCGGGTCGGATCGTTTCTTCTGGGTCGGATCGTTGCTTCCTGGTCGGATCGTTTCTTCCGGGTCGGATCGTTTCTTCTGGGTCGGATCGTTGCTCCCGGGACGGATCGGGTAGTGACGGCCATCATTCAGTGCTGCCCTCTGTCTGATGAACAGCTGGATCCTGACAGGCTGCTGTTTTTTCCGTTTCCAGGCTGAAGCTGAAGGTTTCTCCCATTTCCACCTCTATGTCTGTGCTGCGTTTCTTATCGAGTGGCGCAAAGAAATCCTCTGCATGGTGGACTTTCAGGTACGCCGCCTTTATTCAACAGGAACTCAGAGATGGATGGAGAGATGTCTTCATCTCTGGAATGTTCTTTGATCCAGAGGGATTTTCCTTCTTTATTCCAGTGGGATCTCAGGATCACTTATCCTGTATTTCTCAGCATTTAAAGGACTTTAGTATAATTCTGCCTGAGATTTAGTAAAACATGTCTACCTTCACACTGAAATGTATTTATATTAGAAACAAACCGAAACAGGAGGGAGAAAATAAATGTGTCTGAGGGGCGGCTGTAGCAGCCAGAGAGCATCTGATGAGGCCTGATGCTCACAGGAAGCCAGCAGGTCTTCTAGATTCTTATCTTAATTATCCTCTGAATTAAGAAGGACTTAATTTCCAGTGTCGTCTGGTTTAATCTAGCGAACCCTCTTTTGTATAGATGGGTGTCGATACTAAGACTGAGTTTGGCTTCTCCCTTCAGAGCCTCCTGATGCTTCTCCAAAACCTCCCAACCATCCACTGGGGGAACGAAGAGGTGGGCCTCCTCCTGGCAGAAGCTTATAGACTGAAGTACATGTTTGCAGACGCCCCCAGCCACTACAAGAGGTAGAACGCCTGCCCTGGAAGGGCCGCCGCAGTATTTGGGTCTGACCTAACCCGGCAGCGGAACGGACCGCCGAACGTCAGGCTGGGAAGACGAAGTCTGCGGAATATCAGCAGGATTTAGGATGGAGCCACGGAGCAACAGGAAGGACTTTCTGAAGCTGCATCAGAGGCTGTTACAGGATGGCGCCATCTTTCAGCGTTTCCTCAAGAACAGGCTGAACGCTGACAGGATGATTCCTGGAGAACAGCCTGAACGCTGACAGGATGATTCCTGGAGAACAGGCTGAACACTGACAGGATGATTCCTGGAGAACAGGCTGAACACTGACAGGATGATTCCTGGAGAACAGCCTGAACACTGACAGGATGATTCCTGGAGAACAGCCTGAACGCTGACAGGATGATTCCTGGAGAACAGGCTGAACACTGACAGGATGATTCCTGGAGAACAGCCTGAACACTGACAGGATGATTCCTGGAGAACAGCCTGAACACTGACAGGATGATTCCTGGAGAACAGGCTGAACACTGACAGGATGATTCCTGGAGAACAGCCTGAACACTGACAGGATGATTCCTGGAGAACAGGCTGAACGCTGACAGGATGATTCCTGGAGAACAGCCTGAACGCTGACAGGATGATTCCTGGAGAACAGGCTGAACACTGACAGGATGATTCCTGGAGAACAGGCTGAACACTGACAGGATGATTCCTGGAGAACAGCCTGAACACTGACAGGATGATTCCTGGAGAACAGGCTGAACGCTGACAGGATGATTCCTGGAGAACAGCCTGAACACTGACAGGATGATTCCTGGAGAACAGGCTGAACGCTGACAGGATGATTCCTGGAGAACAGGCTGAACACTGACAGGATGATTCCTGGAGAACAGCCTGAACACTGACAGGATGATTCCTGGAGAACAGGCTGAACACTGACAGGATGATTCCTGGAGAACAGGCTGAACACTGACAGGATGATTCCTGGAGAACAGCCTGAACACTGACAGGATGATTCCTGGAGAACAGGCTGAACACTGACAGGATGATTCCTGGAGAACAGCCTGAACACTGACAGGATGATTCCTGGAGAACAGGTTGAACGCTGACAGGATGATTCCTGGAGAACAGCCTGAACACTGACAGGATGATTCCTGGAGAACAGGTTGAACGCTGACAGGATGATTCCTGGAGAACAGCCTGAACGCTGACAGGATGATTCCTGGAGAACAGGTTGAACGCTGACAGGATGATTCCTGGAGAACAGCCTGAACACTGACAGGATGATTCCTGGAGAACAGGCTGAACACTGACAGGATGATTCCTGGAGAACAGCCTGAACACTGACAGGATGATTCCTGGAGAACAGGTTGAACGCTGACAGGATGATTCCTGGAGAACAGCCTGAACACTGACAGGATGATTCCTGGAGAACAGGCTGAACGCTGACAGGATGATTCCTGGAGAACAGCCTGAACACTGACAGGATGATTCCTGGAGAACAGGCTGAACGCTGACAGGATGATTCCTGGAGAACAGGCTGAACACTGACAGGATGATTCCTGGAGAACAGGCTGAACACTGACAGGATGATTCCTGGAGAACAGGCTGAACGCTGACAGGATGATTCCTGGAGAACAGGCTGAACACTGACAGGATGATTCCTGGAGAACAGCCTGAACGCTGACAGGATGATTCCTGGAGAACAGCCTGAACGCTGACAGGATGATTCCTGGAGAACAGGCTGAACGCTGACAGGATGATTCCTGGAGAACAGGCTGAACGCTGACAGGATGATTCCTGGAGAACAGGCTGAACGCTGACAGGATGATTCCTGGAGAACAGGCTGAACGCTGACAGGATGATTCCTGGAGAACAGGCTGAACGCTGACAGGATGATTCCTGGAGAACAGGCTGAACGCTGACAGGATGATTCCTGGAGAACAGGCTGAACGCTGACAGGATGATTCCTGGAGAACAGGCTGAACGCTGACAGGATGATTCCTGGAGAACAGGCTGAACGCTGACAGGATGATTCCTGGAGAACAGGCTGAACGCTGACAGGATGATTCCTGGAGAACAGGCTGAACGCTGACAGGATGATTCCTGGAGAACAGGCTGAACGCTGACAGGATGATTCCTGGAGAACAGGCTGAACGCTGACAGGATGATTCCTGGAGAACAGCCTGAACGCTGACAGGATGATTCCTGGAGAACAGGCTGAACGCTGACAGGATGATTCCTGGAGAACAGGCTGAACGCTGACAGGATGATTCCTGGAGAACAGGCTGAACGCTGACAGGATGATTCCTGGAGAACAGGCTGAACGCTGACAGGATGATTCCTGGAGAACAGGCTGAACGCTGACAGGATGATTCCTGGAGAACAGGCTGAACGCTGACAGGATGTGAAATGTTTCTTTGATCAGTTGTTTTGTTTTTGTTTGATCTTGTTTTAGGTTCATTCAGTCAGACACTGACCCTCCCTCCTCTAATCTGTTGAGGAAAACCAAATAATCTGCTGTGAACAATCAGGCTGTGAAACTTTTCCTCCATGTTCTGAACCAACCTGCTGGTTTAATGTTTGTTTTTAGCCTCTTTCTGTCTCCAAGTCACTTTAATTCGGCTCTAAAGGTTCAGTTTTACTCCCTGGTGGACGGAGGAGTTGATTTAGGTTCATCTTGTAGTTTTAGGGAGACTTTTTTCAATTTGAGATTGGATCTAGTTTTATTTAGAAGAGTAACAGGATTCCTGCTTCATTTGTAGGAAGATTTATTGACGGATCCATAAAAGCTGAATGGTGAACTGGTGGAGAAGCAGCTTTATTATCATCAGGAGCAGTTTTTATAATTTTACTCGAACCGTTTCAGTTGCCTGGAGATCCAGAAGAGCTGCTGATTTCCTTTTGTTTATATTTTATTTATCATTGTGACCAAAGTGATTCATGCTCGCTGTATGTCTGGTTGGATGATCTCTGTCCCCTCTCAGTCCACTGCTGGCAGCCATGTTTGCTTCTCCTCCATCCTGCTGCTCCTGATGTTCTGGTCTGCATGCAGCTCCCTTTAATAATGCAAATGATTCCAGGTCTGGTTCCTTGATTTAAAAGAAAAAGATGTGATGTGGTGAAACGCTGTAACATGCTGGTAACGTGTGATTGGTTTCTTTCCTGTTTTATGGTCAGATAACCAAACGGTTCTTGGTTCCTGGTTCTGTTCCTGCAGGAAGAAGATTTATCTGAAAAGGGAACAGAGGCAGAATCACAGAGCAGCTCCAGGATGATGTCTGATGTTTTCCTGTAAAGTTCGTTAAGCAGCATCAAAGGTGTTTCTCCTGCAGCAGCAAACAGTATCCGACCGTTTGACTCCATCCTGGCGTCTGAACTGGAACCAGTCAGAGCTCAGTCAGTAGACTGGTTTGCTTCCGGTTCCTCCTCACAGCGGTGCAGCTCATGTCTTAAACATCTCCATCCAGCACTCTGAATGATGCAGTCCACCTGTAGCCTTAAAGTTAATTCCTTCTTCTTTTAGCTCCGCCCACTGATTGTTTCAGCGCCATGACGGCGTCATTGGATCCGTATTTAAAGGTCATTTTTGTAAATGTGATGTAAAGCAGGGATGTGGGCTCAACATGAAGCCTAATATCTTCTGGGTTTCAAAGCGCTTCAGTTGTCAGAGCTGGTTTTAGCCTTAAACATGAATAAATTATTACAGTTCCTGCTCTATTTTCACTCCTTTTATATTAAACTAAACGCTTTTATCTATCCAGCATCTATTGGTTTCTGGAAAAAAAATGTTTCTTTGCTGTTTTGATTGAAGAAAAAACTTTAAAGATGTTTTTTGGGATTCAGATAATAATAATAATAATTGGACCTTAAAAGATTAATGTTATTTTTTTCCACATAAACACAAATTATTGTGAGATTCTAAGAAAAGCATAACTGGAAGAAGATTTAAACCCCATTTACTCTGATACCTTTAAATAGAATTCAGTAAAATGCATCTGATTACTGAAGTTTGAAGGAAAAGTCGCTCATATTCAGAATCCAAACTCCTGAAAGTTCTTTAAATCTGAAATGATTCCATCCTGTTCAAAAATTATCAGTGTTTTTAATTCAGATTAATTTTCATGTGAATGTGCTTTACTGGAGGCATCCATGTTTGTCAAAGAACACTACTGCCACCTACTGGTTAGTGACGTCACGGTGCGGTATCGGCTGTTGATCAAGTCCCAGTGCTGTATCTGGTGTTTGTCACAACGCGCTATTATCCAAGTCATCTTGAAAACATTCTTCTTCCAAATGTTGGCTACATATTACGGGTTTTTTCTCTGGCCAGAAGTTCGATGGCAAATCCTCCCTCTTCAAGTCGGCAATAAATAGATGAAGAACTGATCCAGTCATTGGATTCAGCAGAGATGCATTTAAAACATGCAGGACAGGTGAGTAAAATGCTTCATCATGGAGAACCTCGAACTGCAGCACTTCTGACAAAACAATCTCTGAACTTTTGCAGTTTTTCACCAAAAGAATGAGGAAATTGCGGAGCAGCTGAAAGCTTTCAGCTGAGCGGGACCATCTGATGTCATATTTTATGTTTTTGTTTCATCTTTCTTTCAATTATCACTCAACTCATCCGATTTCAAATTAACTCTTAGTTTGCTCTTTTTACTCTAGTTATTTTAAATAATTAAATCCTTGTCCACAAACATCCTTTTTCACATGTTCACCTAAATGTTTCTGTTTGGTCTTCATATTTATGGATTGCATCTAAAAATATCAAACACATAATTTAAACAAAGACAAGAAATAAATTATGGATAAATCATTATAGGTCATCCAATCAGCGGCTGCCTGTAATGATGTTAAATGACCAGCAGGTGTCAGTATTCAGTGAAATTAAACCATCACTTGCGTTTATCTCATCAAACATGTTTGGACGTCTCTGCTCAGATTAAACCTGAACTGTGGTTGCTATGGTTACGTCTCATAAGTATCCAAAAGGGACCAAAATAACAGTGAAAATCCCTCCAGTTTCACAGTATCCACCAACAGCTGTGAAAAAAAAAACCATGAGAATGGAAAAAAGATGCAGCCACCATAAGCTGCCCACTTCTAGAAAACTAGATCTGTTCAGGACATAACTGGGATCTGATGTACACTATATTGCCAAAAGTATTTGCTCACCTGCCTTGACTCACATATGAGCTTAAGTGACATCCCGTTCCTAATCCATAGGGTTCAATATGACGTCGGTCCACCCTTTGCAGCTAGAACAGCTTCAACTCTTCTGGGAAGGCTGTCCACAAGGTTTAGGAGTGTGTTTATGGGAATTTTTGACCATTCTTCCAGAAGCGCATTTGTGAGGTCGCACACTGATGTTGGACGAGAAGGCCTGGCTCTCAGTCTCCGCTCTAATTCATCCCAAAGGTGTTCTATCGGGTTGAGGTCAGGACTCTGTGCAGGCCAGTCAAGTTCATCCACACCAGACTCTGTCATCCATGTCTTTATGGACCTTGCTTTGTGCACTGGTGCACAGTCATGTTGGAAGAGGAAGGGGCCAGCTCCAAACTGTTCCCACAAAGTTGGGAGCATGGAATTGTCCAAAATGTCTTGGTATGCTGAAGCATTCAGAGTTCCTTTCACTGGAACTAAGGGGCCAAGCCCAGCTCCTGAAAAACAACCTCACATCATAATCCCCCCTCCACCAAACTTTACACTTGGCACAATGCAGTCAGACAAGTACCGTTCTCCTGGCAACCGCCAAACCCAGACCCGTCCATCAGATTGCCAGATGGAGAAGCGCGATTCGTCACTCCAGAGAACGCGTCTCCACTGCTCTAGAGTCCAGTGGCGGCGTGCTTCACACCACCGCATCCGACGCTTTGCATTGCACTTGGTGATGTATGGCTTGGATGCAGCTGCTCGACCATGGAAACCCATTCCATGAAGCTCTCTGCGCACTGTTCTTGAGCTAATCTGAAGGCCACATGAAGTTTGGAGGTCTGTAGTGATTGACTCTGCAGAAAGTTGGCGACCTCTTCGCACTATGCGCGTCAGCATCCGCTGACCCCGCTCCGTCAGTTTACGTGGCCTACCACTTCGTGGCTGAGTTGCTGTCGTTCCCAAACACTTCCATTTTCTTATAATACAGCTGACAGTTGACTGTGGAATATTTAGGAGCGAGGAAATTTCACGACTGGATTTGTTGCACAGGTGGCATCCTATCACAGTTCCACGCTGGAATTCACTGAGCTCCTGAGAGCGACCCATTCTTTCACAAATGTTTGTAAAAACAGTCTGCATGCCTAGGTGCTTGAATTTATACACCTGTGGCCATGGAAGTGATTGGAACACCTGATTCCAATAATTTGGATGGGTGAGCAAATACTTTTGGCAATATAGTGTAGTTCTCAAAGTTTTCCAATTTACCAAATATCTGATTCTGATGACATGTGATAACATGTCCGCTGTGTGTTTATGGAAATAATGTTTTACTTCTATATTAAAAGATGGAGGATAAAAACTTATTGAATGTGTTTAAGAATGTAGATCCATTCTTTAATTTAAGGTCTGCATAAAATAAAGAAAATGGTTTATTATTCTTAATGTAGGACTAAATATAATAGACAGAGTCTCTGGATGAAATGTTTTCCTTCTTTATTACCATTTAGGATATAAGAAGATAAGAGGTCCTGATTCAGGGTTTCATAAAAAATAAACTATAAAATCTCCATAAATGGCGGTAAAGATATTTTAATATTAAAATTAAGATTTTCTGATCTTGTAAAATCAGCAATGGGAAATTATCAGCAGCGTTTTTCCTTTAATCCACATTTCTGAGTTAATTTTCCGAAACGAACATTTTAAAGATCAGAAGTTTTTTTGTTTTTTGGGAAAATATGTGAAATTCTTCTAGAAAGTTTGAGATTTTAATCAGAATGTTACTACTTAGGTCTGCATTACCCCTGATATTAAACCAGGGAGGTTTTATTTGTTCCCATTAATGACTTGTTTGTGGGCGGGTCCAAAACAGTCCGGAAGTGACGGGTCTGTTTTGAATGACAAACCGGAAGTGTCCCTGCTTACTATAAACTTCGCTCCTGTCGCCGTCATGTCGGTGCCGTGGTTCTGGTCCATGTGGTCAGAACCGAACCGCTCCGAACCCGCAGAGTGACGATGATAGCGGGCTGTTTGTACGGAAGCCCCTGAGGGTCAGAGAGAGAAGCGCAGGTGAGCCGTTAAAGCGCGGAAGCATGTTAGCGCAGCTTAGCACCGAGCTAACGTTAGCACACAGGAAGCTAATCTGTGTTTACTTTCACTTAGCGGCTGACTTTTCCTTTAAACTTTAACTAAACGGAGAATAAAAGTTTAGCAGCTTTTGAAAACGTCGATAGATAAAATGAAAACAATGTAGAAAAGGAAAAAAATGACTTCACTTTGAAATTTCGACCTCTGCTGCTAAGTTTATATTAATAAAATAAAATAATCTTATAAAATAAAAAGATCTTATTTTGGACGTGACTTTTTTATTCTCCCAATCTCTCTTAAAACGTTCAAATCTTAAAGTTGTTTGTTAAACTGTAAAAGAGGAAGTTCATAGTTTGGAAATGTTAACTGCAAAGTTATCAGTATGAACTTTCTGTTAAAAGCAAAGATCAAACTTTATGGCTTATTGGCAGCTAATTATCACATCTAAAGAGAGCACTTGATCTAGATAAGCATGAGTTAGATCTGTCTATCTAGAGACTAAACCACGGTTGCTCCATCAGTCAGTAATAAAATCCAATAAAGTCAGATGATAACCAGTTAATAGTGAGGATCCAACTGGTTGCAGCTAAATCTGTTTAACCATCTGTTTTTTTTTTTTGTCTTTTTCCTTTGGGGACCTCGATTAAAAAAAGAAAAAAAGCGTGATGAAGATCAAGGAGCAGAGCCAGCAGGTGAAGGAGAAAGTGGTGGAGAAGTTTCAAGCAGGACTGGGTTTAAGGAAAATATCCCAAGCATTGAACATCTCTAAGAACGCTGTCCACTCCATCATCCAGAAGTCTAAAGAGTTCAGCTCCACAGCAAACCTTCCCAAACATGGCCGCCCAGCCACACAAGCGGTACCGTCGCACACAGCGTTATTCGGCGACGGCTTGAAGAGGCCTGTGGTGATTCTGGAGAAGTTACCAAGATCCACAGATCAGGTGAGAGACTAAAGGAGCGCGATTAGCTGAGACTGTAGAAGACTGGAGGATCTGAGGAGGTTTGAACGCCAGCAGGACCTAGGCCCTCCATCCAGATCAGATGCTCACCCTGCAGGAAAACGCTGCTGAGAACGTTCTAAGAAATGCATGCATGTGAAAAAGCAGACCTCCCAACGATTAATGCTTTAACCCTTAAAGCCCGCAGCCTCCGCTGTTCCTCCCATCCTGCTCTGAGCGCCAGGAGAGCATGCGCCATATTATTGTTAAAGTCATAGGAGCAAAACGTGGAAATAAACACTTAATTTAATATGACTTATTAAAAAATCCCATCAGCATCCAGCAGATGTTCAGTTTCTGCCCAAATATCTTCTTTTTGTTGTGGATTTCTGTAACAGGGATAACTAGTACCGGTGTAAATCACACCCATCATGGCGATTCGATTCAGTATCGATTTCCTGACCCAACGTTTCGATTTTTTTCGATACTCAAGAATACACCACGATTCGATTGTTTGTTTGTTTTTTACCTTACAGGCTAGACAATGTTTCAAATTGGAAATAAATCAATGAAAGCTGTAATATCGTTATGCATTTTTTGAGAAACAACAGTAAATAAGAAGTAGAAAAGTTGCCCTCCACCTATTCCTATTAAAACCTCATTCACTGAAAAATAATAATACTCCTGCGTTATAGATTCTGAAAGGCTTTGCATCAAAAAATACTGCAGAAAATCAGTGCAATGAGTGCAATGCAATACCTCGGCTCCAGACGTCCCGCCCCCTCCACAGTCGCTCCGCTGCTCCTCTCCCAAATTGTAGCTGACCGCAGACAGCGCCGCAGACAGGAGGCCGGCTTGGTTTGTTTTTATGACCCAAATTGCGGAAAACAACTCGTGAAGTTTGACCCGCTAGAAGAGCGAGGTGCACGAGAACGCTGGGACCCTTTTTCCACCTGGATCTCCGCTCTTTTTGGCCCTCATGTCCCTCCGTCGTCGGACTAAACTCGCCCCCACTTCCTCTCCGCCTCGGCCGTATCTAGACCCACAGCGTGTAGCTCAGACCACGCTTCAATATTGAGCATAAATCAAAAATGTCTGCATCAAGCTCACTGCAACACACTGCTGTAAGAGTATAACCAGGAAGCGAGGCAGGAGGGCAAAATAGGTTTAGCGCCACCGCAGCACGGGAGGGAGAATTACGCCCAGGAGCAAATGGATAAAAATAGACCGGAGGAAAAAAAAAAAACATGAATCGATTCTCTTGTATCGGTGCATCGGATCGTCGGCTATTGGATCGATGCATTAATACAAAAAGATTATTATTTACACCCCTAATAACTAGGATCATCCATGGCTTGGATAAACTATGTTTGTTCTCTGCTTCCTAACTCAGCCTCACTTCATCCAAGCCTGAGATAAGAAGTTTATTTTGACTGGATTTGATTAAACTTTTAAGCTTCTTGGTTTAAAATAAATATTTTGATGGAGATGAGAAATCTGCTTCCTGGTCTGTTTAAGTACCAATAGTTTGCATCCGTTTATTTAAATAAACGGTCTTAGTTTTTGGGAATATAGAAGAATTATGCTCTAATGTTTAGTACCCGATCTGTCATTCCCATATTTTAATTTGATAAGCCGGATATTCTCGCCATTCTTTTCCCTGTTTGGAGCGATTGCTGATTTTAACCTCGCCGGACCGAAGTTAAAAAGAGCTCAGCTCCGGATTTTGACGGTGACAGACGGAGAAGACGTATGTGGACGGTGACGTGTGGAGGAGTAACGGTGGATGTGGAACAGCTCTCGCTGATTAACATGACAGACAAGTACTCCGCATGACGTGCGGGATGGAGCGCTGATGGAGGAAGGGGAATCTGGGGGGGAACAGCCAAGATCTTTTTATTTAGTCTCTAGACCAGACATCCCTAAAGTGGGTCCCTGAGGGCCGCTGTCCTGAAAGGAGGTTTCCCTGCTCCAGCACAGCTGATTTACCCTGATAGCTGATTAACAGGCTTTAGCTGAACTGCAATCAGCAGAATCAGCTGTGCTAAAGCAGAGAAACCTCTAAAACCTGCAGGACAGCGGCCCTCCGGGACCGACTGTGGGGATTCCTGATCTAGACTAACAGGCTCCTCAGCTTCTTCTTCCCTCTGTCCAGAGATCAGATGTCAGAACGGGGCTGATATGTCCTCATTTGCTAAATGAGGCACCCTCACAATTGTAGCCAAAGATAAACCAGTATTTTCAGTCATAAAAACAGAAATAATTCTAAATCTTGGTTTCCTGTCCAGTTTTTCCATTTCTGACTCTGCTGTCTGTGTTACAGCAGGGGAGAAGGATGGATGGAGTCGGCTGGAGCAGCTCCAGGTCACATGAGACCTTCAGAGCGGACACGCTGTCCAGACTGGCCAGCTTCATCGCGCGCACCGACACCAAGCAGCAAAGCCACCAGCACTCCCATCGCTCCCATTGCGGCTGTCAGGAGTGTGAGAAAGATGTCCCTTACCAAAAAGACCTGCTGCAGCACCAGGAACTAAAGAACACGCTGCCTAAACCTCACCGCTGTCCCCTCTGCGGGCAGCAGTTCTCCCTGAGGTCCTCACTGCAGCTGCATCAGTGTCAGTGTGACGGCTCCCGCGGACCGGCCCGCCACGCCGCCTCCTGTACCACTCTGCTGTCAAATTCAGGCAGGCTGCAGGACAAGTCGCTTTATCGCCAGCCGCACCTTTTGGACAGCAGTCCGTACGCGTGCGCTCCTTGTGGGAGGAGCTTCAGCCAGAAGCAGGCGCTGCTTCACCATCAGCAGGCCGGCTGCAGCGGCTCTCCGTCTTCTCCAAACGTCACTGACGTCTGCAGCCTTCCTTACGATTCCCCACCCGTCTCTGAGGGCGACTCCGCCCACTCCGATGTTTCAGACGTTCCAGGACCCAGCAGCGACTCCGTCAGCATGTGCCAGATCTGTTCCAGGATTTTCTGCACAGAAGCTGCGCTGCTGCGGCACATTCAGGACTGCCACATGGAGGAGAAGCTAAATGCCGAAACGCAGAGGGACGCAGAGGAGGCGGGGACTGTGGAGGCCAGCGGAGCATCAAAGGAACGCACAAAATCCAAGAAGAAGCTTCTAAGCTGTCGCTCGTGTGACATGGTTTTCAGATGCACGTCTCAGCTGTACCTGCACAGGAAGGAGAAGCACAGGAGAGAGAAACTGATCATGAGGGAGCCCAGGCCCGTCACCAAAAAGCTTAGGAAAGTCGTTCCGTATCCATGTCAGATCTGCGGCAAAGTTTTCCTTCACCACCTGTCCTTTAGGGCCCACTACAGACGGCACGTAGAGGAGGGCTGCGCCCCCGTCAATAACGGCACCGTCAAAGACTCTCAGGCCCTCAAACTGAACGCCAGTGTGGCCAAAAACAGGCTGCCGCTGAAGAGAGGCCGCAGGGCGGGTCCGGGGCGGCCCAGGAGCGCTCCCAGAGTTCTGTTCAACGTGGCTGGGAGAGAGCCGCCCGAGCACAGCGAGTTCCCCTGTCCCTCCTGCCCGGAGGTCTTCTCTGTGCAGCAGCAGCTGAAGGAGCACATGGAGCTTCACCAGTCGTCCTCCAGGAGGCACCAGTGCAGCGTGTGCACCAGCCAGATGGACGCCAGCAAAGGGCCGGGCTCCAAGAGGCAGAGGCTGTACCACTGTGTGCCGTGTCAGCAGGGCTTCACGGCGCTGGAGCCCTTCCTAGAACACTGTCAGGAGCACCTCCGGATCCGGGTGGAGGAGGAGCGAATGTCTGAGGGCCACGCACTGCAGGGGAGCAAAGGCTGAGCTTCGGCGCCAAAAGTTCAGCCGCTGCCTTTTTGCCTCAGGAAGCCTCTGACTGCTTTACTGCCCTTTTTTTTAATTTGTTTTCTGCTGAGTTTGATGTTTCTGGGGGGTTTGAGGTGCTGATGTGTTCAGTTTTGGTTTCCTGGCGTGTGTGAAAGTAAGGACTGGACTGATGGAGCCGATGACTGAATGTTCCCCCGTACCAACGTATCAAACGCTGCTCCTTCCTGTTCTTCTTCAGAGCTTCTTCAGCAGCGCTGAGCTCAGCTACTGAAAACGCCACCAAGCTTCTCCACTAGATGGATTCAGAAATGAATGTGAAATCGCAATCATAGCAGCAGCAGCACCACCGATCAGAGGAGAGTAGATGGAGATTCATTTGGTTTAAAACTTTCATGCCTCTGTTGTTCACACTACCATCGCTAACTGTCTCCAAGTGCATTTTGTTCCTTAATCAAGTATTTTGTTTGCCTTTTAAATAAATAAATTTCTCTCCTCATTAGAATCCTGCTTTTCACAATCAGACATGAGGTGAAACCAACAAAACTGTCCTGTTTTGGATAAACAAGCCAATTATGTTCTAGAAAAATGTCTGATTTTATCTCTTAAAACACATTTAAGTCATTTTGTTTGGTAACAATTTGCTCTCTGATAAGCTGGACTTTCTAGTTGTGCTGTCGTCACCTCTGTGCGCCGGAGGAGGCGCTTTTCCCACCTTCATCAGTGACTGAAAAGAAATGATGACTAATCAAAGGCAAGCGGGCATTAAAATGGCTTCCTCCCTCTGGGGGATTCATTGTTGGGTTTCTATAATTAGTTTTTTTTTTTTTTTTTTTACCTACCCTCCCATTGGCTGATCTCAACCATCTGATTCTGGGCTGGGATATTAATTGCATTCACAATATTTTCACAATTTAACACATTTTCAAATGGCAGAAGGAATGAGTTTTGTTCATATTACATTTAAAAAGAGCAAATAGCTCAATTTTTCCCTCCAGCCTTTTAGCTAACAGTAATAAGCTTCACAGACGGGAAGAGGGGTGCTGCTAATACGCAGATTCATGCATGAAAGTAATTATTTACTTCTTGACAAAAGGTTACAGTAAAGTCCTACAATGAAAAACTGGACAAGCAAACTTTCCATGTCAGGAAAAAACTGGAACTCTGTAGTGAAAATGGACATAATGGCAAAATAGCATCACAATATTGGATTAAAATAAATGCTATTTTCATTTTTGGCTAAATGATTCATCCCTGCTACTCAGCAGGTTTAAAGCTGTTGCTGCAGAAGCTTCTTTCTTTATTTTTCGGTGTAAAAAACCTAAAATGGTTTGAAGTCAGCCGTGAGCCGCTAGCAACATCAGGCTGTTTGGGTTTAAAAGCAAAACAGACTCCTGGTGAAATCCATCATTTTTTGGCGTCGATGAACAGAATCGCTTCCACTTGTTTTAGGTTTATTTTCTCCACTTTTAATCTGCATTATTATTATTATTGCCTGGACACCAAGAGTGGATTTGATGGGAAATCTGGTCTGCTTTCCATTTTCAGCTGATTGGTGTTGTTGGCTCGTATCTCCTATGCAAACATGGACTAATAGTGGCTCTGATGAACCAATGAACAGGATCCGGGTTCGATTATTTATAGCTGCTGTTTTCAGGTGCTATTGTGAAAATGTTTATGATTTAAAAAGTCTTTATTTCTTTTTATAAACTGGTTCATGCCTCTTTATAGATGACAGAATAAAGAACTTTGCAGCAGGTGGATGGGATGTTTTTTTCTTTAACATGGCCGACCTCATTCCGAGACTTCCATCGACCTTTTTAAAAGACCGGAGTATTTTTGGATCATTTTTTTCAGATAATTGAATTTTTGCATAACTTTCTAAAGAAATCCAACCTATTGATTCTCTTTATCCGTTTGGAGCGAGTGGCTGAAGTACTGCAAGCACTGGAACAGTTCCTACTTTCTAGTAATCCAGGATCTTCTGCTACCCACCCCCCCACACACACACTCCCACTGAGGAGGATGTTAGGGGGGGTTAGCTCACTGACTGACTCACAGCATCACAAATAAATAAAAGGAGTTTGCTCCATTTTACTGGAACTTTGATTATAAGAAACCAGAATTGAACATTTCAGCAGCAGTGAGCAATATAAAGCCTCTCAGCTCTGCTTCTTAGGTAAGGTGGAGGATCTGTGGTGCTCTGGGCCTATGTGTGTAGCAAACCCTCAACACATCACAATAATCTGCGTGGACTGCAGCGAGCTTCGACTGATCAGGTCTAAACCTGTCTGCCTTTAAATTTAGGTGAAGAAATACGTTTGACTGATTGACACATTTTCACACTACTGGTGAACAAACACGCCAGCTTAAAGTGTTTCTATCGAAAAGTGCAATAAAAATAAAACTGATATATAACAGTGAGAAGGTACTGATGGTGTTCTGTTGTCCTCCTGGAGCCAGCTCCCATGTCAGAGGATGAAGAGAGCACATCCAGTTAGTCACAGTCAGAGAAACAGGACTACACTGGAAAACAGGCCAAGCTCCAACATCTAGAAACAAAGGTGTTGATGGCAGCAGCACAGCTGATATTTCTCTCCAGGATGGAGTCACAGCCAAACAGGAACAGACCAGATGAAGCTACTATGAGAAAAAGCAGAGAGAGCAGAAGGTTAGAGATTGAACTAACAGATTCTGCAGAGTGGGAGAAAAGAGATACAGGTGCTGGTCATAAAATTAGAATATCATGAAAAAGTAGATTGATTTCAGTAATTCCATTTAAAAAGTGAAACTTGTATATTATATTCATACATTACATACAAACTCATATATTTCAGATGTTTATTTTGTTTAATTTTGATGATTACAAATGACAACAAATGAAAATCTCAAATTCATCATATCGGAAAATTAGAATATTGTGAAAAGGTTCAAAATTGATGGCCCCTGGTGCCACACTCTAATCAGCTAATTAACTCAAACCACCTGCAAAAGCCTTTAAATGGTCTTTCAGTCTAGTTCTATAGGCTACACAATCATGGGGAAGACTGCTGACTTGACAGTTGTCCAAAAGACGACCATCGACACCTTGCACAAGGAGGGCAAGACACAAAAGGTCATCGCTAAAGAGGCTGGCTGTTCACAGAGCTCAGTGTCCAAGCACATTAATAGAGAGGCGAAGGGAAGGAAAAGATGTGGTCGAAAAAAGTGTACAAGCAAGAGAGATAACCGCACCCTGGAGAGGATTGTGAAACAAAACCCATTCAAAAATGTGGGGGAGATTCACAAAGAGTGGACTGCAGCTGGAGTGAGTGCTTCAAGAACCACCACACACAGACGTATGAAAGACATGGGTTTCTGCTGTCGCATTCCTTGTGTCAAGCCACTCTTGAACCACAGACAGCGTCAGAAGGGTCTAAAGAGAAACAGGACTGGACTGCTGGTGAGTGGTCCAAAGTCATGTTCTCTGATGAAAGTAAATTTTGCATTTCCTTTGGAAATCAAGGTCCCAGAGTCTGGAGGAAAAGAAGAGAGGCACTTCATCCACGTTGCTTGAAGTCCAGTGTAAAGTTTCCACAGTCAGTGATGGTTTGGGGTGCCATGTCATCTGCTGGTGTTGGTCCATTGTGTTTTCTGAGGTCCAGGGTCAACGCAGCCACATACCAGGAAGTTTTAGAGCACTTCATGCTTCCTGCAGCTGACCAACTTTTTGGAGATGCAGATTTCATTTTCCAACAGGACTTGGCACCTGCACACAGTGCCAAAGCTACCAGTACCTGGTTGAAGGACCATGGTATCCCTGTTCTTAATTGGCCAGCAAACTCTCCTGACCTTAACCCCATAGAAAATCTATGGGGTATTGTGAAGAAGAAGATGCAATACACCAGACCCAACAATTCAGAAGAGCTAAAAGCCACTATTAGAGCAACCTGGGCTATCATAACACCTGAGCAGTGCCACAGACTGATCGACTCCATGCCACGCCGCATTGCTGCAGTAATACAGGCCAAAGGAGGCCCAACTAAATACTGAGTGCTGTACATGCTCATACTTTTCATGTTCATACTTTTCAGTTGGCCAACATTTCTATAAATCCTTTGTTTTTATTGGTCTTCAGTAATATTCTAATTTTCTGATATGATGAATTTGAGATTTTCATTTGTTGTCATTTGTAATCATCAAAATTAAACAAAATAAACATCTGAAATATATGAGTTTGTATGTAATGTATGAATATAATATACAAGTTTCACTTTTTAAATGGAATTACTGAAATCAATCTATTTTTTCATGATATTCTAATTTTATGACCAGCACCTGTAGAACAAAGCAGAAAGATGAAATAGGGGTCCCTATGTCCTCCAGCAGTCTAAGCCTATAGCAGCAGAACTATAGAGATAGCTCAGGATAAATATATATTTATGGTTAGTACTTTGTTTATTTTTTTAATTTTGAAATACATTGATTAGTTTAAGTATTTCTTCAGCCTAAATTAGTTTTTTAATATATGAATTGTTAGTATTTATTCTATTTTATACATAACTTTAAGTTTTTTGTCTGATTGTATTTTTACTTTGGTAGCCTTTCTATCAAATCCTTTTCTGCCCTTGAGTATTTCCTCAGATGGTGACTTTTTACTTTAGCTAAAGTAGAATAAGGTGGGCTAGTGCTGCCTTTGCCGAAGGACTTTCCCACATCCTGGACAAGAGGATAGTCCATCACCTGGAAACACATCAACCAATCACAGACCCAGGGCAGCTCAGAGACCAATGAACATGTATGATGTTTGTCAGCAGAAGGCAGCAGATCTACCAGGCCTGAAGGCTGCCTGAACCCAGCGCCATCTTGCTGCTAGGCAACAAAGTACGACTTCTGCTCATTGGTGCTTACAGTAGTAGTCATTCAAAATGTCACCACTTTCCTTGATCGGCCCTTGGCTGGCCCATAGCTGGTCCTTGGATGGTCCATAGCTGGTCCTTGATCGGTCTTTGGATGGTCCATAGCTGGTCCTTGATCGGTCCTTGGATGGTGCTTGGCTGGTCCTTGATGGTCCCTTGGCTGGTCCTTGATGGGCCCTTGGCTGGGCCCTAGCTGGTCCTTCATCGGCCCTCGATGGGCCCTTGGTTGGCCCTTGGCTGGTTGTTGATTGGCCTTTGGCTGGTCTTTGATGGGCCCTTGGCTGGTCCCTTGGCTGCTCCTTGATGGGCCCTTGGCTAGTCCTTGTCTGCTCCTTGATTGGCCCTTGGCTGGTTCCTTGTCTGGTCCTTGATGGGCCCTTGGCTGGTCCCTTTGCTGGTCCTTGTCTGGTCCTTGATCGGCCCTTGGCTGGTCCTTAGCTGGTCCTTGGCTAGTCCTTGATGGGCCCTTGGTTGGCCCTCGGCTGGTCCTTGATGGGCCCTTGGTTGGCTCTTGGCTGGTCCTTGATGGGCCCTTGGTTGGCTCTTGGCTGGTCCTTGATGGGCCCTTGGTTGGCCCTCGGCTGGTCATGGGCCCTTGG